AACTCTTTGATTGTATCGCCCACTGACCGCTCCTCTCAAGCTTCACTTTGAGTAAAGCCTTTGATTTACCCTAATTAATATGTCATGGTTACGCTTTAACAATTTAATACTGAAGGCTGAATTGGTCGTTGCAGGTTTGGAAAATAAAATGCTGAAATAAATCATTAAAATAGCAAAAACAATGACCATCTCTTCACACATCTTATTGTCTCTTATTTTGTGTTCCTGCCTTTGAATTTACACCATTTGTTTTCTTTCCGCTCCAGATCCACATGAAGACAATGCCTGCAGCCATGTACCGTCTGCTGACAGCCCAGGAGCAGCCTGTCTACATCTGAACACCTCTCACTCTTTTTTTCACCCACACGACTCGAGTCTATCTTTGCTACTCTCCATCCATCCTTCTGTTACTTTCAATCCCCTCGACCCCCCCCCCCCCCCCGGATCCTCTTTGATATCACTTGACTTGCCTTAATCTGTACAGTAAACTGTCCTGTAAACATGTACATCCACAGTGTGACAGAAGGCAGGTTATCTCACTAGGCCGAGTGTTCGTGTGACGTCTTATGTTTGACCAAAGAGAAACCGTGGATTTTATTGTGCATATTTAGGTGGCAAAAAGAGTAAATATTATCTTTGGTTGAATAGCTGTAATATCTGAATGTACTCTTAATATGTTGGACCTATAGAAAGGAAGGGCCGCTCAGATGATAAAGAACTTTTAAAGTACAGTGTGGTCATGTAAAAGGAGAATGCATGTACAAATCTGCTGAATAAACTCGGTGGTCAGTACATTCTGCTGTGTTTTCTTCTTCAGGGTTCACAATGAATGTGGTGGGCTGTTAATTAAACATCCTGTATGAATGAAGGTCCATCAGTAAGCCCTGAAGCCACACTTTGAGACTGATTGTACATCCTTATTTAATATTTCCTCACTCCTCATGTGCATCTCTGGTGGGAAGGAATAAGAAAATATTAAGGGAGAGATGCATGAATACTACTCATGAGACCAGGTATGTGCCCAAGAGTAATTAGCAAAAGCAGCCAATCACGAGGCAATAGAGCAGGCTCAGAAAATTGTCCTTTAGGGGGGAAAATGAAACATCTTGCCTTTTGCAGTCCTTGTGAGTTTTGCAGCCACCTTAGGGTCCTCCAAACACTTGAAAGGTTGGAGCGAGGGAAGCAGTTGTCAGAGGTTTGCAACCTGAGTCCTTAGCACTCTATTTTACGCTCTGCTCCCTCAATGTGCCGGTCCATTACATTGCAGAGTACAGCTGTGCTATTAATTGTAATCTGTTGTTGTCGCGAAAATCATTTTCAATACAAACATCAGAAAAGTCTGGATTTAATGCAATAAATATGTTTTTTTATAAAAACAAGTGATGCTGTCACACCCAGCATGTTCACATTTCACCTGCTGGATGTAGGCCAGGGTGCATTCTCCATGTTTTCACATGTTAATGCAGTAGGATTCAGCTTTAGCTAGCTGTCAGCGTCCCTCTCACATGAGTAAGTGCATATTTAGTGATGAATAAATCTTTGAGGGTTTATTTTAGATTCAGGAGGAGCATGTTGCAAACACAGGTATTGTGTTAAACATCAGAGAGACATGAAGAAGCTCATAAAAAGCGAATATGCATCCTTTGATTTTTGTTTCTTTAGTGCTCATCATGTTTTCCTTTTCTTGTTGAATATTAGACCACATCTCTTATTTTCTCAAATCCTGCAGGACGATCATAGAGAAGCAACTAAGGTATCAAACGCAGCAGTGTGCTTTAGATTGAATTGACTTATTTCTGGCAGAAACACAAAACTTTTACTTACAGTGGTTTCATACCACGACACTAATAATGTTAAAAAGTGAAGGTGTGGGCAGTTCTTCACTAAAAAACTGCCCCGAGAACAAAAGTGGAACCGGACCCTTCCAGGACAACAGCTTGTAAAAAAGAGATTTATTTATTTGAATATTTTCTGCACCACTAAAATCACAAACTAAAAAAAAAAAAGAGAGAAATCACAAACTAACAAACATGAAAAAGAAATTGATCAAACAACATGATTGTCTTCACCACATTCCAGACGCTCCTGTATACAAAGACTAGACAGAGTTCAGTTTCTATTCAATATAAAAACATAGACACAACAATAACGTGATTGTCTCTGGCTGGAAGCTGATACTAAGAAGGAATACAAACTGCTGACTCGACATCTTTAAGAGTTGAACTCTTTAATCCAGACATCTAGAACTTTCTTCACAACCCGCATAAGAGCCTGATGTTATTCTCCTGGTGTTCATCTCCAGCTAACCTACAGATATATAGAAATTCTTTACAGGCACTGGTACAGCCTCCTACTTTATGTGAAGTGCACCAACTTCACATCAAGACAAAAAGTTCAGTGAATCTGTTGAAAACACAGACGTCTTTCTAAAAATTATTTCATTTCATTGTATGGTTCTTTTAATCACTAAACTGTGTGTTCTTCTGTCAGTGTACAGTAAAGTACAGTTTGTTTATTTTAAATCTGATCTAACAGAGCAAATACAAGGCACTTGTCAATATGCCGCATCCCAGAATGCACACATATTTCACAATTAGGTGTAAATATAAATGATCAACAATGAATGCAAAGGTGTAAAAATCAATGAGATAAGACTTGATGATGAATATATTCACTAACTTGTTTGACATCAGAGCAGTTGCACAAGATAGGAATGGATTTTTAAAAACAATTTTTGCCGGAGGTGAAACAAATACACAGTCTGAAGTACTTTGTAAGGTAAAACAGATGCTTCCCTCTGTTAGACAGAGAGGGTATCTCACAATCCTTTGAAAATCTTTAAAAGGATTTCAAGAATTCTTTAAAGGTGTTGAATTATTTGGATAAAAAAATATTTTATCTGATGCACAGAAAAAAGACTTTTCACTCTGTTTTCACTGAATGATATCTGGGATGGCGACTGGACATATTACCACGCTCAGTTTGCCTAAAAAGTAATAATAATAGTCCATATTTGTAGTTCTCTTTGTATCTGGATGTTCAGCACGGTAAAATGTTTTAGATTTTGTTTTGTTTTTATTAAATGCCACCCAGAGAGAATAAACATGTATAAAATCATATGTACTGTATTGGTCAGAGGACAGAATATCTTTTACTTTTTAAGTAAAAAAAGTAAAAGAGAAATGTTTGAACTTCTTAACTACAAAAAAAATGTTTTACATCCTTCTGGGCTTTTTATAATCATAATCTTTTTTTACTTCAGATTACTGTGCTTAGCTGTGTGACTCTAAAGTGACAGTAAACTGTGAGAGACAAAAAACTGTTGTTCATGAAGTGTGGAAACATAAACATGTAACAAAGTCCTCTGCAGACACACAAAAAGAATATTTACACTGAAATATCTGGCCTATGTCTTCAGATGTCTTGTATATTAAGGAGTTGTGTGTATGTAAACTGTATGTATGGCCTAGAAAAGCGTAAGGTTTTTGTACAGATTGAAGAACATCGTGTACAGCTGTGGCTTTGAGTTCCCATCTTCTCAGGCTACAAGAAAAAAAGTTTTTCTGAAGGTAAAGCTTCAGGTTCTGGTACCCGGGGAACAAACAGTGTCTGCTATTAGTGGTCGAGTGTGAGGAGTCCAGATGATGTCACTGTGTTGTTGCCATGCCTACAGCTCGGTGTCTTTGTATCTCTGAGGGTTGTAGTATCCTCTCTTGGTCTGGTCGGCCAGCTGCCGGCGGTACTCGGCCTCGTCGTCCTCGTGTCCTCTGCTCTCTGAGTAATGTGGCCTGAAGGGAGTCTGCTGCTCGGGGTTGGAGCTGGAACTGATCACACACAGACACACAGACACACAGACACACAGACACACACAGACACACAGACACACAGACACACAGACACACACAGACACACACAGACACACACAGACACACAGACACACAGACACACACAGACACACACAGACACACACAGACACACAGACACACAGACACACAGACACACACAGACATGATCCAACAGTTTCACCTTTTCTGTAATAATAAAGCTGAATCAGCTACAACATCCTAACAACAAAATGTCAGTTTTGTGGTGTTACCCTATTGGCTGAGGACGGTTGAGGTTGGGTTTTGGCAGTTTTACTGGGACGGCGTAGATGTCTGGATGCTTCTGTGCGATTTCCAGCTGTGCAGAGCAAAGAGAGCAGACCCAGATATGTCAGAACATTTTGAATAAAACACTATAAGACATCTAAACTGTACATGGACACACAGGGGTTGCAAGTCATCTTTCAGGACTCTGGAGGTACGCACCGCGGTACAGGGGGTTACTATTCAATATAATAATCCTGTTAACAAAAACACAGCAGGACTTTTGTGAAATAACTTAACTTATATATATATATAAAAATAGTCTTAGCATGTCTGAATTAAACACACAGTTTGTAAATCCTGCTGCCAGGGGGCTCTCAATCAAAACAACAACAAAAGATGGCGTTGTGGCTGGCGGGGAATCATGGGAGTTCTCTCTTCTACTCCTTGATCTCCTTTCTAAACTGACAGTTATGAGCTGCTGCCCTCTCAGTTTGAGAGTTGGGGTTTAGTGTATAAATGTCTTTAAGAGGTTTATGTAAGTCAAACTATCTGAGTCATAGTTAACCTGACAGAGTGGGTGTCTGGAGTTTGGCACGTGTGGAAAAGTCTTGAAACTAACTCTATCAAAAAAACAAAAACACAATTCTCCATCCTTGTTTTCAGCATTGCTCGAAATAATAATGCTAATTTATTCAGCCCAAATGATGACAATAAAAACAAAACTGACTCGAGCATTTTCTGCCTCCTGCAGCTCCAGCATCCTCTGAGCTCGGGCCAAGTGGTCCATCTTCTCAAAAGCTTTGATCTGAGAGGAAACAAATCAAAGTCACTTCACATTTCAGCACATTTCAATTTACTGGACGTAAACAGCACATCCACATGATGGCACGATTCATGAAGGAGTGACTGTTATTTGAAGGAAATGGCAAACAGCGTGTTGACTGATGATGAGTAACTGCGGATTGAAGGGAGGGAAACAAACATTCAAGACAAATGTTGACACATTCAGTTACCTGGCCACCTGTTCTCTAGTTCACATTAGAGGCAAAAAGAGCAAAAGAGGGAAACAGGGAAGTCAAAATGATTTAATATATCATTCAATTATTTCACTAAATCAAGGCCTCTTTCTTAAATATTAAATATTTATTTAACGGAAAACAGCAGATGAAAACCGTCAGAGTAGGACTTTTTTTTTTTTAAAGTGGAATAAAAAGAAACAAATATGATGCCAACCTTGCCCAGGAAGGATTTGTTTGCAGGGTCTTCCTCCTCCGTCAGTGGTCGCTGCTCCTCAGGCGTTTGGTTCAGACGGCTCATGCTTGGCTTCAGGGAGACAGGAGGGGGAGCTGGTTTGTTTCCACCCGTTGCGTCACTGCTGATGGTGCTGCTGGAGTGGGAGTCATAGCTCCTCGATGAGTCCGTCCGAGTCTGAGCCCTCACCTGTTCAGTAGAGGACTGGTGAGGACAGTAGGGACCACTTTTACATTTTGATTGAACTGTTTGAGGTCATCATAGGAAAGGTTAGATGGAGTGATGTTATGTGGAGTTTATGGGAGGAAAAAAAGGAGGGAGGATAGATCTCACCTTTGGGGGTTCAGGGACAAAAGAGGGGGGAGGGCTCGGCTCTCTGTGCGCCAGATCTCTGCTCCCTGACCTGAGACGAGCCCGGGGTTCAGGTTGAGGCTTCTAAGCACACACACAAACAGACACAGGGAGTCAAGGTTAGATTATGTAAACACAGTTTAAATGAGAGTGAGTAAACAAAGGGGAGTATGTGTAGGACACAAAAGGTGTGTTTCCACTTCAAGGACAGAGAACTATTGAGGGAACTTGGTGCATTTACAAAGAAACTGGTTTGAGTTCCAGGTACATTATTATAAAAGGTTTCTGCTCCAGCAGGTAAAACTGTACATTACCTTTGATGCTGCTTTCTTTGTTTAACATTTCTGAATGGACAGTACTCCCTGATTTTTTTTTGAGCAATTTCTGAAAATCTGCAGCAGCATAACAATGTGTATTTTTGTTCATTATGTCCAGTGGAATAACTGAAGACAGAACGCAACAGATGAGCAGAAAATGAAGTCCTTAGGCCTTATTGAACATTTCTGCAGAGAACATAATGCACTGTCCTCCACATTTCCAACTGTTGTTGCAGCACAAAAAGAGCTCTGCACTGAGTTATCATTGTCGTATAGTCCCATACAAAAATGAGATGTAAATCCTGTGTTGATCTCCTGACCACAGCGGATGTGCAGACAACAACTGGCTGAACAAACCTTTCAGTTCTTCAAAAGACATTTTTTTGTGAGACAAACTTCTGGGTAGAAATTCAACAGCCGGCACTTTTAAAATGCAAAATAGTCTGAAACTCTGAATGATTTCCCAATGTCCAAGGATGAGCAACCAAAATGCCATTTAAAGGCTAAAAACCAATAAGAGCAACTAAATGTTTTTTCCAATATTCAATTCATAAATGCATTCAGTTCAGGACAAAACACTCACGTTTGCAACTAAATGACCAAGCAGCCCGTCAGTCAACATGAGCTACTGTCCAGTTGGTTTCATATCAATGTGATAATGGATTCCGAAAATTCTGTATCGATAGTGTGTACTATGTAGGGAGGCTGTAGTCCTCAGGCTGGGCGGACCAGGCTCGAGTCCGACCGGTGGCTCTTCCGTCCCTTATTTCTGACTCTATCCTTTGTTCTGTTTCTAGAATAAAGGCATAAAAAGCCCCAAAATAAATCTTCTTCAAGTGAAGCTATTGATCAAACGCTCAAACCCACACTACATGGGGATAACATTTGTGATAGGCAGGACTTATAAATCAGACTGAATCGAAATGTGCCCAAACAGGAGGGGGACCACACGTCATCCACAAAAGACATGAGCGTGAAGATTTTTCTGGTCCATTAGATTCAGTAGACACACAGTTCAGTGTTTGATAGTATCAGAAGTCATTCTCACCTCGTCTGGCATCACAGGCTCTGAGGATCGACTGATGGCTGACACCGGCTGCGGCTCGTCTAATGTCTCGTCCAGCTCGTTGTCGGTGTAAGCCCCGCCCTCATCTGCTGTGTCTTCATAGTCGCTGGTCAGGCGGCTGTCCATGCTCAGGTAGTCTGCACTCATCGCCGACAGGTAGGACATGCGGTCGTCATGGAGATCCAGGTCCTCCTCTGAACCATCCAGCTGAGGAGAGATAAAACATACTCAGTGCCAAAGTATTTAGAAGATTTGCACATCTTAGTCAAGCTCACATGATGTAATACTGGGAAAAATGTCAGATATGCTGGACTCACCTTGCCCTCACACACCCAAACAGCTCTGTCCTGCTGCTCCTGAATGGAATCTTTCACACTGCCGTACCACGCGTCGTTAGCAGAGTTCAGGTCGATAGTTGCTGAATGTGCACAAAACAAAAAGAAAAAAAAAGTGAGCCAAAAAAATATGTAGAATATGTAGGCAGAGAGGAAGAATTAATGAAAGAAAGAGGACAGGCTCTGACTGCTGCATGGATTCTTAACTGTCTGACTTTGAGAGTTTAACACAGTCTGTTTTAAGAATGCAAAGCTAAATTTGTGGATTACTCATCCTTAAGTTTAATATCACCACAAAGCATGTAATCTAGTGTTTTAGATACTTTAAGATGAGTACACTCCAAATACACAGAGTCATAATTTAAAGTATTATTTTAAACTCCTTGTTGACATCTGCTTCTGCATCTCAACAAATCCTTTAATCTAGGTTCACTGTGGTTAAGAACTCTGATTGTCTCCATCTGATCTCACATTTTTGAATTGCTGCAGAAGATCTCCTCTGAGAGCCATGACACAGCTGCAAATAGAGCTTGAATTTCTTCAATATAAACCGGAAACATTCATTACATTGCTCTCATCAGGACAACAGACCCCCTTTGATAGAAACTGTCATTTTTATCCTGCAGAACACAGGAGTTGCTTGTCTCCTGCTGCCTAGATAAGTTTGTTTAATTGTTTTGTTGTGTGTATTTCAGACTTGCCATTTAAAAGCACCAAAGTCACACTTTAAAACAAACAGATATCAGCAGTAGCAAACACGTTCATGTTCATCAAAGTACTTTAAGCTTTCATCAATGGAATCAGGGTTTCAGAGAGATAGATGTAACAGCTGTTTATGGTTAAAAGAAAAGACTTGAACTTTGAGATCCAAGTGGAGATCCTGTCAACAATCTGAGCCTGTCATACTTCTTAATACTGCATTATTGCAGGAACTTCAATCGTAACACATACAAGTGAAAAGGTGCGAGCACGTCTTCCTCAGCTTGACCGACTGCTCGTAAAGTTTGCGCGCACTGCGGCTGGATCCGGGCATGAGACGGTTCCTCATGGTCTTGACGCCCTGCTTGCTGTCCGGGTTCAGGAAGACCACGATGGGATACCACTGGGTGTAGTTCAGAGTGTCCACAGCTTTGGGAGTCACATCCAGCAGAGCATGACGGTCCTGAGGAAAGAAGAGGAGGTGGGTCAGTGTTAGATGATGAAACAGTATTTTAATAAAGCTGCAGTATTTTTCTAGTGTGTATCCTACCTGTTCGATGATTTGTCTGATGGTGTTCAGTCTGACAACTCCAGAGGATTTCTCACTTCCTGCATCTTTGGGCTCCGTTTCTGAGAGGGGGAAGACATTATTCAAATTTTCAGAATGAGGAACGTGTGCAGGAATGTGTCATCCTTATGTACTCTTAATATTCAGTGTGTTACCTACATATGTCATACAACACTACCAAACACAAAGTGCAACAGCACAACTTCAAAGAGGCAATGATAAAAGCACTCACTGGCAACCACAAACTCATTGGGCATGTCGTTGGCAAGTTTTTCATTTACAGCATCAGAAATGGGTCCAAATATCACAACAGGTCTCCTGAAACCAGCTGGAAGAAACAGGAACCACAATCAAATCCATTCACAAGATAACAGGGACGAAACAAACATGACAGCTGAAACCTTTGAGCGAAAGACCAAATGGCAAAAAAAGATCAGATTTTGGGTACCTTCACGTAACACCACTCTCTCGTAGGCAGGGAATCGTGTAGTGACCGGGGCTGCACTCAGATCCTCTCTGCTCTTTCTTAAGTCTTTCTTCTTCGCAGCTCTTTGACCTCTCAGCCTCCAGAAGTCACCTCTGTCGTTACCTGAGGCTGCCCGAGCAGCATTCTGCACGTTGGACATTTGTTCTGCTCTATAAGACGGAATATGAAACATATCAGTCAACATAATGTCTAATTACTGACTCTTTTTTTTCTTTGAAGTCTTAACTTTCTACTCTGTCTGTTTAGTAATGACTCCTGATAAATGTGAGCCTTTCATCTCTGCACCATAGAGCTGAAAGCACGATCAACACTATCATTACTTAGGCAAACATATCAATTCATTTTAACAACACTTATCATCCATGCACAACAAGCAGAACTAGGATCACTGCACACACCTGCTCTTATTGGGGATGATTCCTTTCTCCAGCAGCTTGTTGTCTTTGTCAGAGCGGATAGCCAGCCAGTTGCCCAGTTTACCATCATAGAGCGTGTCTGTCACTTTGAAGATGTCTCCTCTGCTGAAGGGAAGGCTCTGAGGAGCCTCCTTCTCGTACTCGAAGTGGGTTCTGATGAAGAAGGAATCGCCTCTGCCAGACGCCAAAATGTCCTTGTACACTGAAGAGTGAAACAATGCTGAATCAATCACAGTTTTATTGGATTTGGTTTACAACATGGCTCAATACATCATGGTTTGTCTCTGATGTTAGCATATATATTTCTTCCCTTCAGAGAAGTCATACATTTGGCCATTAAAGTGAATCAGCAGTGTCGGTTTTTGCTCCTTTGTTCAGGCTGCCACTGTACTTCTAAAAAATGTTTTAAAAAGTTTAAGCTTTGTCAGATCAGAATCAGGTTTAATGCTAAAGAGGTTTAAACAAACCTGGTGTTTCGGTACACATGTTTTCATTCAAGCTAATGCAAAGTTCAGAAATCTTTATTGCAGACAAAGTCACTTCATTTGGAGATTCAGGTTTTGTTTTCATCTATAAATAACTACAAATAAACATTTCTGATTTGCTGTGTTTGCAGCCATGATCCATAAATAACAATACCTTCAGGTTTGCTCTGAGCCAGAATGGTAACATCTTCCCCTTTAGGAACCTCCAGAAGGTAGAGGACAGCATCCTCACGTACCATGCCTCTGAAGTCAATGTTGTTGACCTAAGTTAGACAAAAAAACAGAAAAGACTCAGCATTAAAAAGATAGCATTACTATAGAGAATACTGAAATAAAGGTGGACTGGACATTTATGAAGAAAGGATTAGGAATAAGACAGCAGAACTCCGGCTCTTGAGTTGATAAAAGGCTGATTACTTCTGGTTAAGCCCATCTTGAACTGTTGAACCCAGAGACAGCACACAATAATCTGTTAGAGGCCCAACACATTGACATGGTTGGTGTGATAGCAGATTCTCATCGTGCCTTTCTCTTACAGATTTGTCTTTTGGATTTTGTTTATTATAGTATTTAAGTTTCAGTTTCCTTAAGTTTCTTTATCTTGTGTTTTTTGTTACATTAAATAGATGCTGTTAGTGTAAGATGAGGATCCATTTGACTATCAAACTCCTTGTCTTTTATCTGCATGTGAAATAAAAGAAGTCTCACCTTCATGATCTGGTCTCCTGTGCGAAGTCCCTCCTTCTCAGCTGCACTGTCTTCCTGAACGCCAGCGATGAAGATACCGACATCATTCCCTCCGGCCAGCCTCAGACCCACGCTGTCTCCTTTCTGGAACTGAACCATCACCGTGTTCGGCCTGGTAAATAAATACACATTATTATATAGAGTTACAACAACAGGAAAGGACAGAGAGAAATGCATGTACAATCGAAATGAGCATACAGAGAGAGTGATAATCAACAACAGATGTGAGATCAGTGTCAATGGGAAAGATTGTTCATGAGATACTGACCCGTATACATCCTGGTCCTCTATGCTCGGCTTTAGCAGCACCTTCGGGGGCGCGTGAACCTTTGGGGCTACATTGTGTGCTGGGACTTCTGAAACAGAAAATGAAACAAGCATGTTTATTTACTCTGCTTCTAAAGACTGGTTAATGATCAAAGCGTGATATACTCAGAGGAGAGACGCATGTCTACCTGGAGGTGTTTCTGAGCGTGGCTCCTCCCTCTCTGCCTGCAAAGGGGGCGTGTCTTCAACAGCTCTGTCAGGTGCTCTGAATGGGGTTGGCATGGCTCCCATTTTTGCCAGTCTATTGGGCGGGTCTTCCCTGGTAACAAAAAAAACCCCATCAATCATATTTGAGATTTTTTTTAAGGTTTATTTTTGGGCTTCTTCAGAAAAACAGTATACCTCAACCAGCGCCACAGAATTTGAAATTTAGGCAACCTTCTGATGAACTGATGTAAATACAGTAGGTTCAACGAGAATCATTTAATATTAATCCTCAACCAAAAGCAAAACAAAACAAAGCCTGAAAAGATGCTGTGAGCACTGCTACCGTTCAGTCAGACAAATCCGTCGTAGTATATTTATCATTTAAATATTTGTTTGGCGTCTAGGCTCTGACCTCATCTCTCCTCACAGTCTGAATTCACATGCAGATATTTGAGGAGTGATGGGATGATATCTTAAACCCCCCCAGTCAGACTGGCATCCACCAGTAGTACTGGTACTGGTGCAGGTCAGAGCTGGCAGTGAAAGAGCAGAGGAAGAGAGCGGGAAATCTTGCATCTTAAATAGAGCTCTATTTGGAAAGAGGTGTTGTCAGGTGATAGTTTAGAATGAGGCATGTCAAGTGTGAAATCAGTGCAGCTCGAGTTGACTGCCTGGACTAGCTCGCAGGTGTTGCCTCATGTTAAGGAAGATACCAACTTAATTTGAAAAGATCAAATACATCTCCTTTGGAGGATTTCAATAACATGTAACACCTGTCGATTTGGAAAGTGTAATACATTTTCAACATCAAGCATATTTGTTTGACATTCCCAATTTTGATAGGAGCCAAATATCTAAGAAATATAAGAAAAGTTTCAACACTTTGAATTGGATGTGCAAAGTTTCAATAGTTATTTCAAGCATCCCTAGATCATCAAAGGTTCAGAGTAATAAGGTGATGCAACAGAGGCAACTTTCTGCGCCAAAGCTCAATCTTGATGTCACTTGAATCACAACCTAGGAGCTGTGAGCAAAGCTTTTTTTGGTTTCTCTACATCCTGACACATGTTTAAAGTAAATCATCCCTTTAAAAAATGTGTTCTCAAAGATGAGAGCAACAATCTCTTCAAATTTGTCAACACAATTGCAGAATGGTTGATGAAACACAAATATACAGTTGTTATAGCTCTTGGTGGATGCAGAGAAATTCCTCCTCATTAATTTAATGTGAAGGATTGGCTAAGCTTCATGGAGCACAAATCAACATAATCCTGCATTATCCCCATTTTTCTGCTGTATTTAACACACAGAGAATAAAAACACGGGGGAAATATAAGCCCAGCTGTACTCTTTTTTGGCTTTGATCATCTAAAGATTGTGCTCAAGCGTGCAAGACTCAAATCAAGCAATTAAGTCTTCAGGTGGGAAATATCTCCTTTCCCTTGCAGCAAGATATAACAGCAGCTTACCTGGGCTTGTCTCTGAGCCTCTCATTGGAGGAGTGGGAGGAGAGGTCGGAGTGATGCCCTCGCCTGTCATCCTGCGGAGAGTAGGAGCGGTACGATTCTATTTCGGAGATATCTGCAACATAACAATAAAAATATCTGAACCAAGGTAATTAGCATTCAAACTCGCCTGACAGAGTAAAATGCTTCATTTCTCCTTGATGCACCTGTACATTTTGAAAATTACATAATACAAACAGCCCACAGGTCATGGACGCAGAGAAGAGCACAAACACACAAACACAATGGTACCAAACAAATGATGGTTGCATAACTAAAAAATTTGATTAGCACAGTAATTGTATTTATAAACAGCAAAGACGATCTGGATTTTGAAACCATGCAGGAGATTTTGATTCTGTTTTGAAAAAAAAAGAAAAGTTATGCTTGCATTTGCAATGATTGGATCACGGCAGGATTGATTGAAGCACTTCAGGTGATTTGAACCATGCAGAGCTTTAAATCCTGAACTCATTCACACGCACACAATCAGTTCCTATTGTTAAAGAGATCTCTCCTCAGAGTGATCCTGGACGGCAGGAACCAGAAGGCTGCGGCGGTACGAACCTTAAAATAATGAAAATTCTGTCATATCCAATAGCAGGATTATGACGACGGATTAGATCACCCTGCCTGAGGGGAGTGAGCACTTTCACACAAGCAGACACACACACTCTCACACACACAAACAGAGTCCCAAAACAGACAAAGTGGGTCACAAGTCTTTCGGCGATTCCCCCCCCACCTCCCTGCAAACATTTGGTCAGCGAACAATCCACTCACACCACTTATCTAGATTAGCCCTGACCAATCAGAGCAGCACATCTGGTCATGTGACACTAAAAACAGGTATAAAAGAGTGATGGCGGTGGTCAGTAATGATGACAGTTTGGTGGATCTGTGGTTAGCTCATGGTGCCGTGTTGTCGAACACATTAAATATTCAATAAAGCTGATGTGTGAGTAAAACGTTTATTTTATGAATGAGACAGGTTTGATGGACAAATACAACAACAACAACAACAGCAGAAATGTTTCCACAGTTGATAAGATGAAGTTCATATGCAGTGGGTTTGTATATGATGATGGTGGCCAGCTGTGTCTTTACACTGGATAGGATCTGCTGCTTTTCAGATTCGAGAGACTCTCACCATCGAGCTCAGAGTCGCTGTCGACCATCGGGGGGACTCGGATCAGCACCTGCCGTCTGTCTCTCTGCACCACCAGCTGCAGCTTCCCACGAGACTTCTCGATCAGCTTCCCAGCGTCAGAGAGGGACAGGTTTTCTGTCACTGTGCCATTTATCTGACCGAGAGAGAGAGAGAGAGAGAGGGGGCATAAGGGGAGAACGTCAGGTGCTTATCACTGCACTAATGACATACAATAATACAACAGGATGACCTGAAGTCTTTAAGAACTTTAGTATTGCTATGAAGACAGAGAGAGATTCTAAGTGTTTTAATTGATGTTGGATGCTGCTTTGGAAAAACATCCCGAGCTTTAATTCAGTTTTTTTTTTAAAAGAGGTCACAAAATCCTCACAGTCTCATGTCTGGTTTTTCTTATTTAACAGAAAAGCTGCTAAACCAATCAGAACGCAGTTGTCAGAGTTAAGGAAAGAGAACTGAGCTCACGATGCCTGTCCTGACATCTTTACACAGGCTTCGAGTTACCTGTTATATAGATTTAAAGATGGTTTACAAAGTACTCAGTAATAATGAACAAATGAACGTGTGATCGCATTGAAATTATACCCTTAACTAATTAGTTTACTGTATTACATTGATTTCACTAAGGGTAACACACAACTTCACTCTTTTCTGCTTTGTATTGATTCTTTTTCATTTAAAATGATTTATTTTAATCTATCTTTATTGATTTTTCAATGCTTTTCTTTTTTTCATATTTATTTTTGGGCTTTCTGTACCCCAGTTCGAGAGATAGTAACAGACACAGTGGAGAGAGACGGAAAGAGAGAGAGAGAGAGAGAGAGAGAGAGAGAGAGAGAGAGAGAGAGAGAGAGAGAGAGAGAGAGAGAGAGAGAGAGAGAGAGAGAGAGAGATTCAGATTCAGATTCAGATTCAGATTTAGAGTGGGGAGCAACACGCTGAAAAGGAGCCAGAGCCTCGACTACAACCCGGGCCGCCCGTACGGAGACCACAGCCTCCACAATGGGGCAAGTCCACCAAGCCCTGCACCACCAGCATCCCCACTGTTTTTTTTTTTACTTTTGAAATGTCTTTCTCGATGTAAAGTTCCTTACATGAACTGTTCTGCATTTATAAAGCTACCTTGCCCTCCCAGACTTTGCAGTTGTACCACTTAGACCAAAGTGGAAGACTAGTCTACAAACATTTTGATAAATCAGTCCATAATTCATCCATCAGATATGCAGAAGATTTTATTTGTTCAGTCTTTGGAGTGCAGTGATTTGGTGTATCATGTAATTGTAATTTGGGTATCTTTAGGCTTTTGATGTTAACAAGACCGAGCAAATAAGAATGAGAGAAGAATTAATGATTATATGTAATCCACATTTTTAGAGCTCGTTTGCTTACCTTTAATATGATGTCACCTTCCTGGAGATTCCCATCTCTGCTGGCCAGTCCTGTGCTGGTCATCTCTTTGATGAAGAGCTGGCTGCCCAGACGGAGACCATACTCTAAGAAGAGAGGAAGAAACTGTTAGTATAGTATAGAATCAACACATAAAGAGGTTATTCAGCCCATATTAATATTACAGTATTCTTGTTCTCCCCTCCTCACACTCTCAGAGGTCTGTTTCTGTAAATGCTCTTTGTACTGATCTTTTTACTCACAACATTTTCATAAAAGCATTCTTATCATAAAACAGTCTAGCAGCACTGACAGCAGTACATGGTAAAAACACTGAGTTGTAGCTCACCTTCGTTGGGTCGGTTCTTCAGCAGCATCACATTTAAGGGTTTCTCCAGCGGCTCCAGGTCCCGAGCAGGGCGGGACACAGGGATGGGCATTGCTGCAGGTGACGGCGTACGGTCCAGGCGGTCTCTACTCCCACTCTTCCTCAGAGGCTCATCATGCTTTCTGGGGTCAGTCGGTATATGTTCACGCCCTCTCTCGAAGCTGTGGTCTCGTCCACGACCTCGTGCCGGGCTGTTGGTGCGGTCAAGTGTCCGCTCGCTGCGGTAACGTCGGTCTGGGCTGAACTCCCTGTCCAGGGCTCTCTCACTGCGATAGCGCCGATCCGGGCTGTGGTCTCGGGGCCTTCTGTCTGGGCTGTAGTCCCGGTCCAGCATGTGCTCGCTCTTGTAGCGGCGATCCGGGCTGCGTTCTTTGTCTAATACGCGCCCTCTGCTGCCATCTCTCCTGTACTGTCGGTCCGGGCTCAGGTCTCTCTCTGCGCTCCTGCCACGTTCCTTCCGGTCATAATCCCTGTCGTAGTCACGCTCACGTGTCTGGTAGCCAGAATCCATGTAGCCGCCTCCGCCACGCTCCCTCTCCATGCTGTGGTCCCGCCCGCCAACACTCCGCCCGCTGTACACACTCCGGTGGTCCTGGTCATAGTTGTATTCATCGTTGTAATCGGTGTTGAAGACTCTGTCATCAGGGGAGGGAGGACGATTCAGCAGATTGACTGGAACTTTTCTGGGCCTCTTGACTGTCTGTTAATAAAAACAAAGAAGAACCAACGTCACAGAGGTCATTTAAACAAATAAATCACTAAAATCTTTATTCTTTCATTGTTGTTTTTAACTGTTTAGAAAGACAGGAAAGGAAATACATGCAGGGTAAAGGGTGGTCAGTTTCAAAAATAGTCACATCATTACAACTTCAATTATTTCAAAATTAAAAAAAACAATAATAGGATTCAGAAAACAAAAAAAGATTCACTTACAATTTTTGCCACTTTGCCACACTTCCTTAGAGTATTCACGGCGAAGGAGTGGATGGCTCCCTCCATGGGGATGGCGTTCACCTGCACCACTCGGTCATTCTCACTAAACACAAAAACACATTGATGTGAGCTTCAACTTCTTCTCTGAATCAAAAAAATGTAACTGCTTCAAATGGGAGGATTCATTTTTAGAGAAATAAAAACATGCTGGAGAGAACGGGGAGTTTTTCAGTACTAATCAACGTCAGCAGTAGTCACATAATTTATATTAGAAAACTCTTCCCAACAACAGGGGAAATCTACCACTCTGACGGATGTGTGGAAAGGATAAGTGTGCTAAGTATCAGGGTCAGGCTGTCCTGAAATGTTCTAGTTGTTGTCAGAAGGGGCTTTACTGTTTTTGTCAATGGAGTCTGCTGACTTTGAAGGTAGAAATTTAAAACTGATCAGTTTTTTTTTTTGATCATTTTAAAAAGCCTCTTACCCCTTTATATCGAGGTCTGTCTCTGTATTTATCCATTCTATGATGTTGTCAGTCACTTGAATACAAATCTGAGCCTTTCAGCTGCAAAAATAATCACTTTAAGTGTTGTACTTTGACCGGCTGCTTTGCCCATGAGGATTTAGTTTAGCCATCGCAGTCGCTGCAATCTACTGGACAGATTCCAAAACGGCAGGAGCTATCAACCAATCAATTTAAACACCCAAACATATGAACAAACAGGGCCAGGTTAGATCGAGCATCTGTCTGTATTATAGAGTTTAACTGATGGCAAACTGCTCTATAGTCTATTAATGTTTTCTGAGTGTACTGTGTGTGTGGAGTTTAGGGATTTATACTCAATTATGAAAAATAACAGCACGCACAACAACAAGCCATCACCGGGTCCTCCCTGCAGGACATCAGAGACCACGATGGATGTCTCTCCACTATCCTCGTTCGGGTTGTCCCTCCCTCCTGACACTGCGATGCCAAAGCCCATCTTTGGATCCTGAGAACAAAAAGAAAACATTTAAATGTAGTAGAATCTTCATTTGTGTGTGTGTGTGTGTGTGTGTGTGTGTGTGTGTGTGTGTGTGTGTGTGTGTGTGTGTGTGTGTGTGTGTGTGTGTGTGTGTGTGTGTGGGAGAGAGAGCGGGAGGTCCTGTAATCCCTGTGGTGTGTGTGAGCTCAAACAGTATTATGATGGCTGTATGTGTATTGTCCGGGGCGATTACAGAGATTTTGACTCTGATTGTGATTACTGTTGTGCATAGAGCAGTCACGTATGCCGCTGCAGCAGTTCAGGGCCTGCATGTCCATCATCTGTATGACATCTGTCGACTTCAAAATGATCTCAAGCACCCATTGTGTCTGTACGTCAATTATACATTCCATCATGGGATGTGATTTTCTTTCTTTGGAAAGGCACCTTAAGTCTTTGGAGACGTTTTTGCGGCTTTGTGTGATTCTACCTGCCTCTGCTCCAGTTTTCTCAGATGAGATTAGGTCAGAGATTTGTTGACCCTGCCTCTTTATCCCCTCCATCCCATCTGTACTTAAAAAAGAAAAAAAAACCACGCACTATTCACCGCTCGGTCTCTGGCAGATGGCAGTGGAGGCAGAGAGAGGGAGAAAGTGAAAACAGAGACAGAGAAGCAAACACAGGCGAACATGAGGAGATGTGAACAGCCTCTTTTGCTCTGATATGATTATCTTAAAAAAGTATAACCTCCTGTCATTAAAAAACAGAAATATGAGAAAAATCCAATGAGTTGTTTGATCAAAATGTTTAGTGTAAATTACCTAAAAAAAGTTTTGCTGTCAGATGTCAATAAAAAGTCAACCTCTCATTAGCCAAATGAGACAACAAAGCAGGGTCTGACATGGTTTTATGAACCTGAGATGCCAAAAAGTTTTTAGTATCCGTTTAAAAAAAAAAGACATGAAGTTTTTCAACTGAAGTACAAACCGGAAAATTGCTATATTAGTATGAAGGGAGTAAAAAAATAAAGCAAAGACGCTCCAGCCGAGAAAGCTGACAACTTTGTAACTATGCTACAAGAGATGTAAGAAATTAAACAGTGTGAAAGAGGATATAAAGGTGTGTATGTATGTATGTATGTGTGTGTGTAATTGTAGAACAAATGGTTGGTGGACGTTAAGAGTCTTATTCAACAAAGCTCTCATTAGTGATTAGTAGCAGAAAAAGGATAACCTTAAACCTTGTTTTAGAGTTTAAACTTGTTATCGGGGCCATCTGTTAGACCGTACTTTATTTGTGCAGAGCCTTCCCTTTTAAGCAAAGTGGCCTTGTGGGAAACAAATGCATGGGACATAGTGATTGATATGGAAAGTTCATCTCCAGTAAAAATGGGAAGAAGAGATAGACTGTGGATACAGTGAAGAGCATCTATTCTTATGGGTTGTGTTATTGTGGTTGTAGTGAGACTTGAATATTGTCTGTTTACTTTTCATATTGTGTCTTGTTTACAGGAAGATATTTGCACTCACCAACTCCTCAAACCATCTAGTCATACATGCATTACTATACTGCACCTCAAGTGCACCTGTTGTACATGTTTTGTCTTTAAATTGTTTTTGTATTTTTATCTTAAGCCTGGTTTATACTTCTTTGTTGAACCTAAACAGTGGTGGCCTGTAGTTGACAGAGAGATTTCTAGTCTCGTTATAACGCCAGTTGCATTTTCCGCCACATTCTCTGCTTGTTTGTGTACAGGAAAACCATGGCGACTGAAACCAAGCGTATTATGTTAGAGTTAGAGATGATAAATATTGAGCAGCGGTTAATTTTACTGCAATTACTGCAAAGAAGAAAAAGAAACGAGACATCGGCGGAGATGAATGTAAAGCTTGGCATGTAATGGATGGAACTTGATAGCACTGTTCAGCTCAGGCTGTTAGCCTACATTAAACAAACAGAGGTTCATGATACAAAGCACATATATTTAGCTTCTTGTCATAATAAGATCCCATTGTTTTACATGTGGTGCAAGCCAGGAGAGGAAACTGCAGACCAATGACTGGGCTTGCAGTCTGCGTTGTTTCAACGTACTGTTAAATATTTGAGGAGGTGCAGGCCAGGCTTCTGCCTGGGTACAGGGCTACACTATGGTGTATGCTATGTTGTAGATTTGACGTGGAAGTATAAATCAGTCATTGGTTGATTTAAGCTCCTTGATACTTTTAATTCTTTGTATGAGTAAACCTATTTGGCTATAAACCTGATTCAGATTTTGGTTCTAGGAAGAGGCCAGATAAGCTCGGGTTCAATTAAAGTAAGCGTGCAAAGGGTTATATTTCATGTTTACTGAGTGAGTGAGTGAAGTACCTGCTTTGATACATTGTTATCACAACCTCTCACTACCATGCTTTATTAGTTGGTTACCAGCTATGAGCACGGCTTTATCTGACTCTGTCAGCGTTAAGAAACAAGCCATCTCCCAACAAGGTTTCAGAGAGAGGAAACTATCTATGATTGAACTTTTAATATGTCACAATGAATCATCTTTGAGGCTGGCAGGTGTTACCGGTAAGTTGACAGCGACATGTTAAGACAATGTTATACTTTGTTGATAAAAATGTTCAGTCTCCTTTCTCTTTGTTCTGACATATTCAAAATCATTGGCATCATTGTGCAGAGCTTGATCGCCTCGTGCTAACTTAAACATTATTGTCAGCTCAGGAACTCAAACCTTTCTATGATGCCCCCAATAAATATAGATATTTAAACAACTAAAATAGGATATCCCCTTAGGGACAGATGAAGTCAACATATTTAAAAAATAGCAAATAGTCAAAGAGAATAAATAGTAGATGTAGAGAATAATCAGAGTGTGACAGCTGCTTGTAGTGAGGTTGAGAGTCAGGGGTCACACGCCTGCAGCAGAGCGACCTTTTTGGCCTAAATCTGCTTTTCTGGCTTTAGTAAACCTCCAGCACGAGACAATGAGCTCATGGTGGTGATTACAGAAGCTCATCTTGTTTGCTCTGCTCACACACTCATTCACGTGTTCAACAGTTTGGAACGTGGCTGCAGGTGTGATGCAGCACAAATTAATCATACACTTATTGAATTAAAAAGTATTAAAGATGTGTATCCTCTGTCTCCCCTCACACAAGTCTCAGGTGCCAGCAATCATCATTCTCTCTCTGCAGTCTGCACCCTGTCTGCTACAACCAAGTCGATGTACCACCGCTGTAACTAGCTCTATGTTTCTTCTTTCAACTAGAATCTGAGTAACACAGGGTATTGAAATTATAAACAACAAAAACCGGCAATTAATTATTGGTACGGTTTGTAGTTTAGTTAACGTATTTGATCAAATTGACCATGAAAAGCTGTTATATACCTCCTTTTGTTCTAATAAAGTTTAATGTTTGTGCTTTTTAAGTCAAGCAGAAACACTGGTTTGGGGTTGTATGCACCTGCCAATCATTACATTTGTGTTTCTGAGATATCACCTTCATAGAATGTGACGGTCATGAGGTTATATTGACCTTCACCTATGACCACAGCTGCGGCTCAGCAGTAGTGTCGTTCAACTTTCAATCGGAGAGTCTGGGGTTTGATCCCCTGTTTCTGCGGACACGTGTCAAAGTGTCCCTGGACAAAACACTGAACCCCAAACTGTACTTTATTGTGAGCAAACATGTAAGTTACAGTTAAGTAGTTTAGAGTGTGCCACAGATTATTGATTTATTTGTCACTGTACAATCCTGCAACCTGAGATCGTACAGGCTGTGCACGGGGAACCATGTTGTAACCCAAATTGTAACTGTTGCAATCAAGCAAATAAAGTTAGAAAAATCTGATCATTTCGGAGGCTTGTCTTGCTTTTGGAGCCATGTTTAAGCAGCAATTGTTTTCTTGTCTTTGGTGATAATTATGGAAATGAGCTGGAGTTGCATGTGTGTGTTTTGGACCTCTCTCTATTTACTGGTCGTTTATTTTTCATGGGATTTTTACTTATTTTTGAAGTTTTATTATCTGTAGTTAATGTTCTTTTTGTTGTTCTTATTTGTTCATGGAAACCTTTTAGTCTGAAATCAGCAGAAAGCTTTTTGTGGATCAACCAATGCTCGGTGGACACAGCTTAAAGTTTCCAGAGACCTTTTTTTAGATTTTGCTGGGTAATACACATAGCTGCAAACAGCTTAAAATTTGATTAAGTTATGAAGAATATGCAACCAGTGTCTCATTATCTGTTCTTAGGTTTCACATTTTTTAAGACTTCAAATTCAATAATACCATGTGTTTTATAAAGACAAGACATCCACTATTTTGATTGAAAAAAAGCCATCTGCAGTCATATGTTGCTGCTGTGAGTGAAAGTTAGAGAGCCGCAGTGGTCCCTTCAGATTCAATGGTCAATTCAACTGGATTACAAGAGATAATTGAGGTGGAATATTTTGAAGTTGGTCTATATCTCTGTATCTCTGGGGACAACTGAAGACACTGTCTTGCACATAAACACTGCATTAATTGCCCAAATATGTTATAATGTTTCTGAGCTGAAACGATTTATTAAGTAATAAGTTAGCTTAATTTTATTGAATTTTAGAATTCTGGTATCTTGACAACCCTTTTATGTTCATTTAGTAAATATGGAGCAACAGGTGCATTGATCTGGAGACCTGATCAATGTTATTTCAATATTCTTACATCATGAGGCGTTTTCAGGCCGCAGGAACTTTTTCATAGTTCTAGGAACTGTTGGAAACTTCCCCCTTTTTTAGTGATTCCACATCGCAGGAACTATGAACTATTTTACTTCCTAGATCCTCGTTTAGAAGAACCTTTTTAGCTCCTGCTTCAGGGTAGGTACTCTCTCAGCACAATGGTGGTGGGAATTCAGACAGAAAAAAGCCCCCACATTGAGTAGTCCCTAGAGGATAGTTCCTCTTCAAAAAGTCCCCAGAACTGTTTGGTCTGAAAAAGCCTATGGTGTCTCCATGTAGCTCTGTTTTCCTCTCCACATACTTTTGATGTTTGTAGCTGCTTAATGCTACACCACTTTAACAGTTATATAAAGATATGTTGGAAGCTCATCTAAAGGCTAATTAAATATATTTCTGAAGTTCAAATAAATAATTATTACACCATTGCATTAAAGTATTCTGGCTCTCATTCAGTGGACTGGGGAATGTGTTTCATCTGACTGCAGCATATCAAACCAATAATTTAAATGCACTTCCTGTGGGTATAACAGCCCCACTGGCCCACAGCCTGAGGTTTATGACTGAAATGTAAACACTGGGAATGAGATGAGCTGTGGTGTGTTTGGTGCAGATGGACTCACCCTCTGCAGGGTCACAGTGTACTGCTCCCACACGGTCTCCTCCATGGCCGGGTTCTGTGGACAGAAAGAAAAGATTACCATGGCTACCTTCATTTGACTGGACAGATTAATAATGTAATACATCATGTAACGACAGAGGCACTTCATTAGCCCGAGCTCTCATTACACAACGAGGAGCTCTCAGAAGAACAATGAGGGGCCACAGCTGGCTGTTTACAACAACGGGACTTTTGGCTCAGGTTGATTAAATATTGAGGAGGACACTTGAACATCTCTTGGCTCCTTTAAACAAGCACTTAATTCAGGATGAAGGGACTCCTTCCAGACTGTTCCACAAAGCTGCCAACAGGTTGTATAAATCAACCTCCAGAGACACACCTGTTAAACTTCAAGTCATTTAGCAACCAAAAAAACCAAACAGCTCAGCACAGTGTAACACTGTTACTGAGAAATGCTTTTATTGCAAATCAGGTCAACAACCATTTTTGATGAACTGTGAAGACTCAAGAAATAAAGCAAACCAAACAGATGTCTCAAAGTTTTGTTGTCAGAGTCAAAACACCTTAAAAAAATATCAAATGGCATGAAAGTAAAAAAAAATACTTTCATTTGAAAGGCTGAAACCACTTTCTTCTTTAATATTTAAAAAACAGACGTGACATTCATATTCATTAGTTCCTGTTTAGTGATCAATAATCCAATCAGTCCCTCCACAAGTCCTTTCAAAGTAAAAGGCTTTACATCTTGTCCAATAGTGAGTCACTTCCTCTTTGCAGCAGAGAACAAGCCTCTATTCTTCCACAAAGATGTTTCAACTGTGCAAAATGTATTTTGAGTTTGCAGTTAAGTGACTAATCAACAATCCCATCCCTCTTTACGATGCACAACATTCTTTAATCAAATATTAATTAAAGAGAGTTAAAGTGGAATTACAGAGTACTGAAACACAGAAAAAAGTACCACTAAACCGTTCAGCTCTTCACTTAAAAATTCAGCTTTTCCAGCTTGAGTAATTTTTGTAATCTGCTTTCAGATCAGTGACTGATCAACAATCCAATCTGTCCATTCAATACATCTCAATGAAGTAAACATCAGAAATGTTATAATATTCATAGACCAACAAGATGAGGTTGTTTTCCAGAGTTTAAAAACAAACCCTGCTTCAATTTCTCTATAAAAGATGAATCTCTAAGTCACAGTTTTGATTTGACACACAACATTAGCTGTTTTTAAAATACCATCGTTAGTCTGGATCTGAAACTATCATCTTAAAACATTTGATGCCACTTTTTTAAGTTGAGAGTTCCTAATTTACAAAATAAAAGTCAACTCAAACACACGCAAATGATTTCTGAAACACGTAATTGAAGACAAACAATAGCACTGATGTCCACAAACACACGTCCAGTCAGGTCCAGCTGCCTGACCGAGACACTCGCCGCCTTACATCTGAGCCACAGTAGCAGAATCAAACTCACGAGTCCCTGGAGGATACGTATGGTCTTGACCGCGTGGGCCCATTTCCTGTGCAGGCTGAGGACGGTCTTCATCGCTTGTGTTCTGCGTCTCTTCCAATCTGCGTCTCTCCCTGCTCAACGCCAGCGGTGCTCTGGCAGACTGATGTGCGCCACAGCCTCCTCCATGGTCACAGCTGCACAACCACCAGCAGCTCTCTTCCTGCATCTGCCCGCCTGCCTGCCTTTGACGTAAGAGGGATTCTGCTGGCCTACATTCAGCACAAATCCCACCGTCTGCAGACAGTGTAAACATTCAGACACACCAATTCCTGCACAGGCACGCGGTGATTAAACATCCCAATGTTCATCTACAAACTCAACAACAAATCACCCTCCACACTTAGGGTGTGATGACGGCACCTGAGATAGATCAGACTCTCCTCCAAGTTTCCCCGAGAAGATTCTCACACCACATAAAGACAAAGTCACAGTCAACGTGCTCTGAGTGCAAATACGACTGACTGAGAAGCACAATGGGTAGGATTGGAAGTAATTGAAGTAATGGGGATTTAATTTTTTGTTTAGTAATAAAGTGGAAAGTCAAATCTGTGTGCCGCTGACATCTCATGCCCAGGCTTAGTGAAACGGGGCACGACTCAGACTGGCAGCTCACCCATCATAACCCACTTTTTTGATCTTCTGGCCCACAGGGGGGAAAACCAGATGACCAGCAGCTGCAGCAGGAGACCACAAAGAGCCGAGTGTGAATTAAAAAAACAGGACGAATGCTTCCAAAAGCAACAAAAAAACAACAAAGAGATGGGATCTTTCTATTTTGTGCAGCCATTAAATGTATTCTTCTGGAGTTTTATCTTAAACTTTCTAATCAGATGACGTAGAAAAACATCTGTTACCAGAATGTTCCTGAACTCATTGACTTCCCTTGAAACAGGGCAGTGTATTAGGTACATTTTAAAAGCTTTAAGGGTTGAAATGATTTGAAAAGTAAAGTTAAATACAGGCTCTAACATGAGCCATGGTCACAAAAAATAAATATTTTACAGCTATAAAAGCTTAATTTGAATGAATACATTTGCTTGATGAAGTGCTTTATAATATCAACATAATGTTGTATCATATGTCATGGACGGATGAACATTTGACTTAAAAATAAAAAGTAAAGGCAAATAAAGTATAATGTTCTGGTCACATTATAAGTCTCAGGATATAAAAAGTACATTATTTAAAAATAAATCAAAAGTCAAAATACAATGGACCTGTTTGGTAAAATGACAAACTGGAGCTGCAGCAGCCAAAACCATCCCACCTCTCTTAACATACCTGGTCAGGATTGAGGTAGAAGAAATGTATTTTTTGTTGCTTTAAATATACGTATTGATTCTATATGTATTGATAAAGAAAATAATCATCAAGACATTTTCACTAAAGGACAGAAATCTGCAGCGGGACTGTGTGTGGACAGAGGAAAAACATAAACTCATGAAAGTCTGATAAATGACTTGAAGCAAGCCATCAGAAGTTCTTGAGGCAAGGTCAGAACCGTTTGAATCAGACCGTCTTCTAGTGCAATGTGATATGATTATGACGGCTGCTCGCAGGCGAGCAAGTCGGATAAGTCCCAGCCTCCTGAGTGTCGGCCATTATATAACAAAACACAAAACACATTTTCCACTAATGAGGGGGGAGGTTGAAATACTGGGTCAACCTCGCAGGACGGGATTTCAGAAAACTAATTATTTAGAGAATGAGATGACTGTTCATAAAACAAGAAACAGGATGTGTGAGTCGACTTTAGTTGAAAAAATATAATGAAAGAAAATTTACATCATGCAAAATTACAGTCGTTACCAGGGACACATTTGGGAGAGAATAAGGGATTTATTATAAGTGATAAAATACAATAAAATTGATTGTTGTATTTTGACCAAAACCACAAATCAGTTTACACAGAAAACAGAAACAAGCTATTTATTTTCTACAAATCTTTCAGATAAATGAGCCAATCAGCCTCTTTGCTAAATCTGATCATAAAGATGTGATTTAAAAGTGTAATTTGATTGAATTTGCTATAATGTGGATACAACACAACGTTAGCATTTTCCCCGACAACATAAACGTTTTTAACGGCAGCTACACAATTAAAAAGAAAATAATCACGCTGTTATGATTTGTTGGGACTAAAAGGCATGCCTCTGTTCCTTCACTGTGTGTGTTTGTGTTTTAATAATGAAGGGGGGTGAGCTCGTCGATACCAAAAACACACAATCATGTCTTAGTGATCATCTTCAGAGAAAAAGATTTATGTCATGACAAAAGCTTTTAAACACTGCAGGTGAAAATTGTATTGCTTAATTGTTGAACAGGACACAGCATGTCATCAGCGTTCAAGAACATAAGGTATGTTTGAAACAGCCAATCAGCTCTATAGAGCTCGCTGAGTCAGTTACAAACTGTCCATGTTGCATTGAAATAAACAGATATTAGAGGGATTTTAGACAAAAATAACTCAATATGGACAGAGCAATATCAAAACAACTATCAGTCAGGAGAACAAATGGATGTTGTGTTTTACTACTGAAGCACTTACTGTGATATCTTAAATCACATTCATTGATATTCTTTAACTTTTAAGGATTTATTTGACTGTATAAGTATATCATTTTATTTATCAAGCACAGGGTAAGACACCTTATGCCTATATGGTTAAAACTTATTCAGAAGCCTTAAAAAAGAAAAACTGTTGCACAACATGAAACTGTGCAGAAACATTGTAGAATAGTTAGTGCTCTCTCTAACGTGGTAATCACAAAACTAAGTATATGTGCTTGTATAAAGTGCTGTAAAGCATTTATCATCAAAACAAAATGACTGTGTGGATACCCCGAGGTAGCATGCACATTTTTACCTGTTGTTTGTAAAGTATGAAGTAACACATGAGCCAGACTTTTGTAAAATATTTTCTATATTTTTTAAAGATCAATCAATTATTTTTGATGGGAAATCTGTGAGATTGACGTGATGTTTTCCAAGGGTTAGGTTTAGGGTATCCTTCATCAGACAGTTTTACTGTTTATTTACTTCTGAAGGAGGGTCATGGAATAGTTGCACAAGTTTGCCCCCAATCGGGCAGAAAGCGACATTACACTGTGAGGCTCAAGAGAGAACAACAAAACACACCGCAACAAACTTCACAAAACAGTCATAATTAATAATTACTTTGGACAGGTGTGTTCAAAGCCTTTGAGTTATAATTTTCTACGCAGCAAGCAACATCCACCTTTGGCTTTATAAACATAAATATGAAAGAAATAATGATGCAGAAATGACGTTTCGACCCCAAAAGACAAAACAATACTTTGAAACAAAGCACTTCAAACGAGTCCAGACGATCAGACATGGCAGAAATCGACTTATCAATATGATTTATCCGACGGGAAGAACATTTAAAGAGGGATTCAGTGAATTTTAACTTGTTTTTTTACAAACTAAATTAACCAATTGATACAAAGCGGGCAACCATAGCAGGTGCAGCAGGATGCAACAGGCTTCAACTGGGAATCATGGATACTCGGGAAGAACCATTTCTCCACAAAAACACAAGAATTCAACATTTTAACAGGATTATAACAGTACTTTTACTGCTCAGCCTTTACATTTAGGAGAAATAAAGCAATGGAGGTACTTACGATGAAATACTGCGTTGCGTATCTGCTCAAAGAGAGCAGCCCCCCTCCGTTAACAGGCATCACGCACTTTGAACTGTCCCGGAGTGGTACAAAAGATTTAAACAAAACTATAACTAGTTCAGAGTTTCTGGTCCGAGTCGGACCCGGATAGAGGAAACAGCTGGATTTACAGTGTCGAAAGAGTCACAGTGTCGTCTTCTTTACTTAAAATGTTGCACTTTACTCGCAACAAGTGCGAAGATTTAAACATTCACAGCTAAAATTTGCGCCGACGACTCCCAGCTCGCTTGAGGTTGAAACCAAATGCGAGTTAGGGGAGGGGGTTCAATTTAAGAGCAACTAATATAGATAACACAAAACTATAACTACGTGTTGTTAACGCAGCCTCGTTTGAATTTGATAAAGTGTCTATTTATTTTAAGCCATAACGAACACATTATAACATTATTCACACATGTATGGAGGGGTCTTTCACCTCTAATGCACCTGACATGGACTCGTCTAAAACTCCCATTGATTTTTAGGAAGCATGCTGTGAGGCTCCCAGACCGTCCCAGACAGACGGCTCAAAAACACTTTACTATTTACAGTCTATGGTTTATACAGTCTATACAGCAACACGTACTTCAAATAAATATATCTAAAACGTTTTTATTTTCAGCATTTTACCTTATAAGGGCTCCTAGTCGAAAGGTTTTTGTAAATAAGGCAAATACTAAAGTCCCACTTACACATAAGGTAGGCTTAGTTCTCAATACACACTAAACAATTGGATCAATTAAAGCTCCTTTACAAGAAAAAACAAACAAGCACTATGCTCCTCATCAACATTTACAACCAAGAATAAAATCAATTCTAACTTTTCAATCATTTTCTCTTAACTTGATGCAATTAGTGTCATTTTGTTTCTTATGCTCAACAACAAAATGCATTTCGATGTAAAAACAAATGTCACCACACCCATGTACTCTTGGTTTCAGGATTTCTATCAGATTTTGAAATTGGGCTGCAGGAATTTGCTCCTATTAAGCCAAAAAAAAAAAGAAGTATCACTGATGTTTGATTGTAGGTGATGACTCAGTTTAAAATAAGTGCTCCAGGTCATCCCAAATGTGTTGATAAGGTCAGGGTTTACGAGCCTGTCAAAACCTTCTACACCAAACTGAGACAACAATGTTGTGATGGACATGCCTTTGCGCATGGGGGCATAGTGATGTCAACAGGGAAAGGCTCTTCAACAAACTGTTGCAGTGAAGCCTGAAGCAACTTATTGTTTTAATTATCACTGTGTGCTCAGCAATGACGTTCATTTTTACTGGAATAAAGAGGCTAAAACCATTAAAACTTCAAATGTTAAGCACACAGTAGCATGTGGCTGCCTTAGTGAGCTATGTGAAAAATGTAAAGCTCTTATAGGCGAGAAGCTGAAGCAAAGGTCCTGAAAACTATAGACAACTATGTGCAGCTGTCCCACAATAACCTGTTTGTGTGTGTGTTTGTTCACGTGTGAGTAATACTATCCTTGAAAGTCTGCCCTCATCTGAAAGTTTATCAGCAGATGACACATCAGAAAAGAATTCCAGCTGACCCTGAAAATGTCCAAAATCCTGAATAACTCAGAAAATGTATCTGTTCCCTTTCTTCATCCACCATTATAGGAAATGATCAAAAATAACTTTCTGCCTCCAGAAAGGACATCACCTTATCTAAATGTTAAACTTCAGAGGCAGAAATGCCTCAGGAATTAAGTAATGAGAAGGAAATAAACAAGAAATTAAGGTCAATCAAGTACAACTGCAACATTCGCATCAACTGAAATATGCGAAATATGTCTTAAAATAGGCCATGCTTATGCAAAACAGCTTCACTGGCCTGAATAATTTGTGAGACCAAGTCATTAAAACAATGAAGCATCCAGGACATGACATGTCTCTCCGGTTAATCATCATCCACGATGCAGGAGGCGTCATTATAGAGTAGTTAGAGCTATATAAGGAAAGGACAGAAGAATGGGAAACTAAACCATCACTGCTGCAGGAGAGAAGCAGCCTTATTTACAGCTTACCCACTATTTGAGGATAAACAAAGATCAATCCCCCCCCCAACACAAAAGTGCATGCATGTTTTTTTAAGCTTCTTCAATGATGGGATTACAAATGAGTTTCATAAGATTAAAGTTCATGAAATTCCATCAAGACAGAAACACAGTCATCCCAGGGATGTTTAAACAGAAAAATCACAAAAGCCTCAATGGCATCAGCGACACACAGCCAAAATCACACACATGCATGTAAGTAGAACAGGAGAACAGGTGTAGTTTGAGTGAAGGCATGTTGGATTTAAACACAGCTGGGGCTCAACAGGTCCACAGGAACAACTCTGACAACACTGAATCAACAATAAAAAAAAACATGAAAGCAACGTACCATCATAATAGCCGAGTAGCTGCGTGAAGAGAGACGGCGCAGATACAGATACTGGGCTTCTCTGGACCAGCAGAACTTGCGGCCGGACTTGAGCAGTTCAGTGCTGGTCTGGTCAATGCCAGGCTGGTCCCTAAGAACACAGAGAGGGGAACACATTTATCAAAAACTTTACAACATGTATGTTAAAAAACTAACTTACAACATTCACTCTGCATGTCAGGTAAACCTGGAAGTAGTGCTTCGCTCACGGTGGATTAATGGAGGGTCTCTGTAAATAATATAATGAGGAGTATAGTCCAGACCTGCTTTTTTAAGTGTCTTGAGATAACATTTGTTAACACATGGCACTATTAAAATAAAGACTGATTGATTGAGGTGAAGTCCTATCTGTACAATAAAGGCCCAAAAAGCCTTAAAATAAATATATTTTAAAAACATTTGTAAGTAAAATCTGGAAACTTGCTTGAGTAAAGTTTAAACACATTTTTAATTTTTGTGTAATTCTAAATGAAAACTATTTTTTATTTGTCCTTAGTTACAACTTCTTTACTATGCTATAATAAAGATTTAACAAATAATTAAACCTGTGATACATCACACACTTGCAGCTGCTTTTTCTAAAAGAATTGAATACATTTGTTTGTTTAATTCAAAAACAGCATTTAAATTTGTAGAAAAAACATGACTGCCTTGAAGGTGCTCAAGTAAAAATATGTGAATAACTCTACAGCATTCATTCATAACTGTGGGCTGCAAATGATAATAGTGAACAAACTGTACTCAAGAGTGTGTCCTCAAAGTGCAAAGTTAAGCTCTCTGTGGACTCCTGAAGACTCCTAGTAAAGGTTTTTAAACATTTGTTTAAAGCAACATGAATTAATCTAAAGGCTGTGTTCTGCAGGATGTGCTAAACCACACTGAATGCTGTCAACCATTCCAGTGTTTCCCCTACCAATATATTAGGGGGGCGGCCCCTATTCTCTAGGTACCACAGAATCTGTGACTATCAAGCAATTGTTTCTGAGATATTTCCAGCTAAACAAACAACCATTCAAAAGACAGATGCCACATGTGACAGAGAGAAGCGTAATTCTCAAGCTAGAGCTGGATTTGAAGTTAATCGTTAAATCCAGATTCAGTTATTTGAAGATGTTGCCTTGGGCTCTTAGTATGAGTCTGTAGTCTGAGATATTTTTCATACTCTACTCACCATATCACCTTTTAAACAATTTACTGGTGTTGGCAGAGGACAAATCACACAAATGGATTAAAGATTATAGATATCTCAGTATCAGAAGGACAAATACAAACTTGATTGTTGAGGAAATATAAACGGATCAAATGGGTATAGAGCATAAAACGCCAAAATACAAAACACCACGATTCCCAGAATTAAGCTCCCATGTGGCTCTGAGCTCGTCAGAGTGGACCAGACTCACACTGATACTACTGTCTTTAATACTATAATCTGCAGTCTGACTTCAAGAGCAACATTTCTGACCTGACTGCTAACAACATGTCCAGACACGTGGCACTCTCTGAGCTCAAACAACTTTGGGTTGTTTTTTTCCTGAACTTTGTGGCAGCCAGTCAGAAAAGAGGTTTTCTGTGATACATTCAGATATAGTCTGACAGGATACAACCAGAGTCTAAAGCAAATCAGTTCCCGGAGTTAAGAGAGGAGATTGGCTCTGCGTGACTAAACCTGCTGCCTGTTCCTGACATGTAGGTTCAGTCAAAACATGACAAAGGGCTTGGTGCCTCCAGGAACAAATGAAGAAATCCAACATATAAAACAGCAACATGAAAGAATGAGATAGTGGGCATGAAGGCTGGTGGATGCTATTGAAGGCTTTATTTGCAATGTGTAAACCCTGATATCTTTACCTACCTGTTCAAGTAATTATGTACCATACTTTTGTGAAGTTGAGGGACTCGCATGAGAGAAAAAAATGGTCAAAACCTAAGCAGCAGGAGGCTGGGTTGTTCTTACAACTAGATGTGTAAGTCAAGTCAAAAACTGTGCTGAATCTTATAATAACTTTCACTGGGGTCAACATTTAGCTCACATACACATCTTTTAAATCAATCCTGCCAGTTTCTTAAGCCTGTTCTGACAACACCCTCAAACCAAACTTCAGGCACCAGATGTGAAGCACAAGCCTATTTATTGAAACTGTGTCATGTGTTTTTGATAAAAAGGGAAAACTGTCATGATAAAAGAGGAAAAGGTCAGTATTTAAACCAAAGTAGAATTTAAGCCTGGTTCACAGATAGGTATTTTTTCACTCTCTCCTTTAAACATGCATTTACAAATAGTTGTTTCAAAGATCAAACTTGCAGCTCTTGATTTGATGAGGTCTTGCACGACCTATAAGTAAACAGCGGCTGATGGCATCTTGGTTTTTCTGAGAATACAGCAGAGACACCAGGCTCTGAGAAAACAACATTGTTCAAGTGCTTCAATATTTCATCTCTTACACGGGACTCTATAACTGCTTGATCTCTGTAAAGTTACATGAATTAAACTCCAAATATATCTATTAATACTTGTGATCATTTACAAAGATTACACCTCCCTGACAAAACCTTCAGTCCACTGGTTATATGCACTGTTAAAACCTCACAGTCATTATGTATTTTAAGGATCAAACACTGAAAAGAGAACCATTTGATTTAATCGGTGGAGTATCTAGGATACACTGTTTGTAGAAAGACACGCTGACTGTGATGATGTATTTCAATGAGAAATAAAACAAATTCAAGTCCTTCCTTTTTGTATTTGGATTGAGACAGAAACTCAAATCCTTAGCAAAACAAAGTTGTAGTTGTCTCTGTGGCAAGGTACCATTATACTGTACTTTAGCTATTGTTTCATGTTTAAGTGTAGTGATCATCTTTAGAAATACATTTAATGGTTACTTCCTATGTTTTGCATCCTTCCAAAATCCATCTGTTGCTTCACCTAACAAGTTACTTAAGGAACCCCCCCAAAATGTAGGATTCAGACATATTGTTTATGACATATTCAATAAAACAGTTGTTAATGGTAACAACCAGGGCCTCAAGTAACAGTCATTTTCATTATGAATTCATTTGATGTTTACTCACAACTAATGTCACACCATTGTGAAAAAGCTCATCACAGTTTCCAAAAGAAACATTTTCATAACACCAGTCCAGTCCATCACCAGTTAGAAAAAACTAGAACCAGCAAATGTTTGACATTTCTTCCTGAAAAATCGTTGAAATGATCAATTATTAACAGAAATGTGGCCATTTATTTTCTGTCATCAACAGCATACAGTGGACTGACTCACCCCGGGGGTCTCCACAGTTTCCTGCCTGGTGGCAGAAGCTCTCGTTTGTTCAGGGGTACAATCCCCATGGCTGCCTGCATGATCGTGATGAATTTCTTGAACTTCATCTTTTAATTCTCATCCGACAGCGACCGCATCACAGACACCAAATTGCTCTGACTGCTGCTACTCCTCCATCGCTCATCTTCAAAGCAGCTCCGTCCGCATCATCAAGACTAAAAAACTTGTCCCCCCCCCCTCTCGTCGCCTCAGTTCATTGGTTTCTCCATGACAACCAGCAACAGCTTCAGCACCCAGAGCGCCGAGGTCCCTGTGGTGTGGCTACTACGGGTCCCGTCTCCGACCACTCTGACAGATGTCCTTTTAGCTTTCTGAGTGCGTGAGGATGAAAGAAAACAAACAGCCACGTTCCTGGCAGGCGGTTGGCGGACCGAGAGGGGATGACAGCACGTCACTCTTACATAATTCTGGAGCTTCTTTGGACATTACACTAATGAAAACGCAGCCTGTGCCACCACAACTGCTGCTGTGCTGCTGCTGCTGCTGCTGCTGGGATAATTGTGGTACTAAGCTCTGACAGATAATGCATGCTCCCCACCCCCCTTCTTCCATAATCCCCCATCCAGGCTTAGACTTCTCACCATTTACACCCAGAGAGACCCATCTACAGCATCCTCACATCCTCAGACATGAGGAGAACATCTGTCATGGAGGTTCATTAATTAAAAGAGTTTTACTGAACACTTTTAAGCTGTAGTCGATCTGCACTTCAGGACCTGAGTATAGTTTTAAATGTGTTTGGTACTTCTCACAATATTCACATGCAATATCCAGATTTTTGTAAAATTACGTTTTCAGATGCTCTGACTTAAATCTGGAAGCCTTTGTTGTTAGTATCATTGCAAGAATTACAAGGCCAAAACTTTTGTTTTCCGTTCGCTAAGTGGCTCTTCAATTGGTTGCTGGGTAACACAAAAATTGTGGCTAGATTTCCCGAGATTAAGAAAAAAAATCTTATTTCCTAGAAAAACTATCATTTAGAGATTATAGTAAAATATTCAGACTGAGGGGATTTTTCAGACCAAAAATAGCACAGTGATAGAAAAGGGCAGTTTTAAGATTAAGATTAACTTTATTGATCCCCGCAAGGGGAAATTTCAGTTTTTACACTCTAAGTCATGAACACACACATAAACTGAAATACACACACATGCACAAACAGGATCCTATGGACATGCACTAATGGAGAGAAGCCAGAGTGACGGAGCGACCCACAGCGGGCGCTCCTGAGCTGATGGTGGGGAGGGGGTTCGGTGCCTTGCTCAAGGGCACCTCGGCAGTGCTCAGGAGGTGATCTGGCACCTCTCCAGCTACCAGACCAACTTCCATATTTGGTCCGCACCGGGACTTGAACTGGTGACACTCCGGTTCCCAAAACAAGTGCCTACAGACTGATCTACGTCCACTTCTTCTTTATTCAGTAAAACACAAACAAACTAAAAATAAAGGAATCAATGCAAATAAGTGCAACCCCCCTCGTGCACATCATGCCACCACAAGAATGAAAAGTGTGTATCTTGTCTTCCCTGAGTCACCAGCTGACAGCAGTCTGCCATGCCCTGAGAGGACTCCAATAAATAAATAATCTGTGCTGCCTCTTGATGAGTTGCCAACCAAACTGCGGTCAGGGTTAATACTCCAGCAGCCTGGACGTCTGGATTACGGCTCTGGATGGTCGTGCCATGAGAGCTGCTGCAGATTTCACTGAGCAGCAAAAATCCCTCAGCACTGTAAAAATACCAGGAGCACAGCGGGGGGAGACACAAAAATAACAAGCATCTATTTTTGAAAGCGCTCGGTAACAACAGGCACAAAGGGAAAGAGGAGAGGGGTTGTTTAAGTTCACCCTGTGTGCTGCCTTCGGTTAAAAGGAAACCAGATTAAAAGCCTGAAAGCACCGAGGAAACCAAACCAGTGAGCTGTGCAGACATCACACAGCGGTATGACATTCACAGGCGATTTGAACATAATCCAATACCTTACAGTAATCTCACAGATAAACAGTCATCCAGCCAAAACTGCATCCAGATGAAATGTAACACGCAATGGTTCACAATCACACCTGTGCACACCTGAAGCCTGTCTAACAAAGCAGGAAGTAACTTTGCTTCATATAGGGGTACAAGGACAATATAACTGATGCTGCACACCTTAACCTTTCCATAAAATAGAAGATCAAACTGTATAAAAACAATTAGTTCCCTCGATATGAGCTCAGTGCTTGGGACACAAATTGGAGAAGGGGCAAAAGTGTTTGGACATTGGACATTTTTCTCTTACAAGTTTTCTATGCAACAGATATTTTTTGTGCTTTTAACTAAATTGTCCTGGAACGAGGACTGATGGATGCTACACACCATGCACCTGTTGTACTTACATCACACAAAAGACAGCTCGGATTTGCTCCTAGGTCTGTTTGCTATACTGCAGGGTTGCAGCTGGAAATGCACGTCATATAAAAAGCATCTCAGCAACACACACATATAATGTCATGTGCAGAAGCAATCGGAGTCAGATCTATTATTTTCAGTATCAGAAATACAGCAACATATATATTTACACAGTCAGTGATTTATCTGCCATCTATCTTCTGTCATTTTGCAGCTTTTCTTCCATAGTTTCTCTTGGTTTTTAAAAGATCTCCCTCTATTGTCACTTGATTCGTTTGTATTGATATAACACTGCATGCAATGCTTATGCCTGTATGGGGCCAATTTCCTCATTAACAACCATCACGGTGTGACAGCTAATAGAAACCTTGTTTGACTCTTTGAAGTTGAAAACATCCAATCACCAGCAGTTCTATAGCTTCTGTAGTTAATAATTTATATTTTGTTGATTCAATCACCACAAAACCTGAAGTATAAAGAATATTATGGTTTCATGAGAGAAGTTGTAAGTCAAACTGTTGAAAGCTAAAGTGTAATAGGAACTAATATTCTGATAATGTGCAGTTTCTACATTTTATTCTCTCACTGCATGCTTTCAAACACAAAAAACTACACAACTATTACTGCAAAGCTGTTGATTCATTTTTGCACAGATGGTTACTTCATGGCTCTTTAACGTTTCCTTTTCGAGATTCGAGCAACACATTAAGCTTCTTCATCTTTTTTTTTTAGTCTCTGCTGCGGCTGCTGCTGCTACTACAGCCCCCTAAAGCCAATTTAATCCTATGAAACTCTTTAGTCATCTCCATCTTCCACTTCAAAAGCTAAATTCAGGCTTTTTCAGATAAGAGTCACTTATCTTTAGATCCTTTACTGTTAATGCTCACTGTGTTTTCAATCAGTCTTAAACCTTACAGTTCAAATGGTCAGTTGGTTTTGTTAGTGTGTTTTTTACAGTGTTTTTCAAATTCTTTAACAAATAAAAAGGGACTGTGAATTGCATCCAGGGAGTAGCAGACCTGATATAGGAGCTTTAACTATTTAAAAAGCTTTAGGTTTAAATTATGAAAGAGGGAGAGGGATCCATTTTTCCTCCGACGTCTACCTATGGCCGGGCATGTTCTCACTTTTTAATGACCTCTGAATGCCTTCTATTTCTTCGTCTTCTTCCACGGGTTGAGCAAATGAGTCCGAAGCTCTTTGCTCTTCTTAATGCTTTTACATAAGAGTTTTGTCTCTCTGCCCTTTCTCACTTCTTGCCCCACGTGTTGGGAGTAGCTCTGTGGTGCTGCAATATTAAGGCCCGAGGCCATTATGCAATGTCCATATGCAATGCATGCGCGAGCCAGATGGAGGGACACATGCCACTCAGAAATCTGTGGTGACAGTTTAGAGGGAGAGCGACTGACAAGTGGAGGAAGAGGAAATGAGGTTGTGCACGTGCCCTGCATAGGTATAATCTGGATCATCAGGGGACATGTATTACAAACAACAAAATTGTGTGTCTCTCTCTCTCTCTTCCTCTCTCTCCCTCTCTCCCTCCCTCCCTCCAAGATATCTTACAGTAAAACTATGTCAGCTGCAGAACGAGAGAGCAGCTCGTTCTGAATGCTGAATGCAGGTCTTTTGTTTCCAGCTGGATCCCTTTTGTATCTGCCACTAAGGAGTCTAAGTACGTATTTTTTGTTTGCAATTTGGTGGTTTACATTCTGCGACTATTCAGTTAGTTGAATATTTTCAAGAGTCAGTATCAGCTTACAATATGCAGGACAAAAGCTTCTCTGCATGAAAATGACAGAAGGGCTTCACACTTACTTGAAGATTTTCTTCAACTGATCATCAAGTTGTTTCATCAACATTTTAAATGCTGATATAACATTTTTGGAGGGCATCAGAAAATGGTATTAAGAAAAATGTTTCAAGAAAAAGTGTTCGCACGGTTTGCAAGTGCAAGACAAAAAGCAGCCCTAACCCTAACCCCCATGCTAATATCCAAAGCAGTAATGAGTCTGAATTCTGCAGGCTTGATAGGGGATTTTCACTCAAATAATTCAACACTTGAATAGCCTACTATCATGAATGTTATGAGGATGAAACTGCTCAAAACTAAGTTCACATTTAAGTTGTTTTTTAAGATAAAGTTTAAATGGTATTGGCTGGTTCAAGAGATATTTTCACCATAACCAAATTCAAACTCAGTTGTCACTTTACACATAACTTACCTATTAAACCGTTATAGACTTAGTATAATAATTCAACTTTGTGGTCTCTTCAGAGGAAGTCATTTCTGTTGCTGTTGCAATGTATTGCATGATATTACAGGCAGATTTTTTATTTTATTTTGAACATGGAAACTAAAAGGGAATTACAATAAATACACACTAAAAATACAAATGAATTCATAGATAGTTTTTTTTTTTAAATAGAACGCCTGATGTTATACTGAAGGGCCAATGTAGCATTCATTGTCGCCAGCATTTGAAGCCAAGTGTACATAAAAAAGTGGCAACTAATGTCATGTTTTGTGTAAACAATATCTGACATGTAGTGAAATAATGAAGCTTACCTTACACACTGTTTATGTGTAGGCCTGATGGTTGAGGAGATTTGTTTTACTAATTCCAGCTCTGCCACTACATTTGTCTGCCAGCCGGTAAAAACAAACGCCATCCACACTAAACGCCAACATATAGTATGCAAACAATAGTAGGCTCCACTGGTAAGCCAGCCCCACCTTGTTTATTTACAGTGGGGGTAGTACATGTATGGACACAAGAGAAACACTGAGGCCTCGACTGGTCATTGAGGTCACAGTTGACATTTTGTTAGTAAGACTTATGGGAAAAGGCGAAACTAATAACTTCCACCCTTCAAGAGAAAGACAATTATTATTAAAACTGAGAAAAAATATGCTACTTTAAACACCTGTTGCAGTTAGTACAATGCCCTTATATGGCAGTGAGTGAAACGAAGCACGGAGAAAACATGTCGACATCGAACAATACACGACCTACTTACCAGGTGAACCTCCGCTGCTTTTCCTCTTTTATGTGCTCACAGGTTAATCCAAAGGTGGTTGTAGATTTGAAGGATAAGAGGACGACGAGGGTTTCCACGGGACGAAGTTTTTTTGACGACTATTTTGATTCTCCTTCACGTCCTGGTAGTGTGATTTCCTGGTTTCTCTCAGGTATGTGGGCGTGGTTTAGGGACTGCAGGTGTGTAGTGTTCACGGCTGCAGATTCTGCTCTAGTTTCGCATGTGAATCCCTTTGGGTGCGGTAGGTGGTGACATAAGCTTGAGTCACTCATGATGAAACCTAAATGTGACATGATGACTCAGTTTATGACCGACCAGCCTGTTGAAGACACCGGATATGAGAACCTGACCTGAAAAGGGTCGTTAAAGTTTTTCAGATAGCCTAACGTTAGGCTACACGGAGGTAAAATGTTGAACTGATACCTGGTTATCCCATTGTACAGATTACACGTTAATTTTAATTTGGATAGGCCTATTTAAAAATCAATCAAATAGGCCTACAAAAACGTCAAGTTTATGCTTACATTTATTATAAGCTACATTAAAAGCAAGTAAAAATAAACTTGTGTCGGGTATATAATTACCATTGGCATTAAGCATTACTCACATATAAGGTGCCTGAAGCACATTTCACATGCATTTCGTTTTTTAAATGTGATTTTTAACATTTAACATAATGATCCCCTGTGCTGATGAATACGAATGTATACTTTGAGTGATAAAAATGCATGACAAACAAACATATGTTAAATGCTCACTTTGTTAAGTGCAAAATTCATTTTAATACACAGACAAAATAAATCACTGAATGTGACAGGAGGGATGATTAACCAAGTTGTGCCACCACTTGCTTTTGTATCCCATTTTTTTCATGCAGTAGGGTATACAAGTAGGCTACATGGCAGAAAAAGCAACGGAAGGCTGTGATTTTGGCACTATGACTGGTTTAACCTGTTCAGGTTATTTCACTCTGGCATACCGATGTTAAAGCTGCAAACAGTCTGCAAGTACTGTCGTAAAAAAAACACACAAGAAATATATTTCCTCACAGGACATAACTGGAAAAGAAGCTGAATTAAATCACAAATATTGAATGAAATGGATGCAAACAATCTGCACATTTATCTTCACTTTGACCATGATATTATCAGGAAAGTCTTCTTATTAACAGAATAAGGGTTTGTATCATCTTTTAATAGGTTTTAGTCCGGAAGTTGACTCAGGTGCAAGAAAAACAAAAAACACAAGCCTTAACATCCTGTAGCCTCTTTACAGAGTATTATAACAGCTCCCCCTTGTGTATACACAAATTATGACTACTTGACTGAGACTCAGAATCATTTTGACACAAGTTTGCAAAATTGTACCGATCAAAAAAAGATTTGCAAAGAAATGACTGAATACGACTCGGTATTAAAGAATAGCTCTTCCTGTTATACATGCAAGCATTTTCAGCATGTTTTTAATTCTTATTCTACTTTTTTCTGTATGTGCTGGGAAACTGGAAATGTACTCACACTTTATGTTATATTATCATATTGAGAACATGCTTATGATGGCTAAAAGTCTCCAATAAGGACTCCTAATGCACTGCCATAACGTGCTCATTAAATGATAATCTGCTTTTTATTTATTAAGATAATCTCGTTCTTATTATGTATGTTTCTGTATTTGGTGTATGATGTAACTAAATATATTCTTTTCTGGATATAACATAAATATGAGAAGGGTTTGATACACTCTCACACAATCATAATTGTCAAAAAAGGATTGATATTCAATATTACATTTATTGCACACAAGTCCAAAGTATTGCTATAAAACAGCTTCTAAGCCTATACTGTACATCTCATCAAAGCATTGATTTTTTTTTATAAACTCTTAAGGCACATGAACAAATAGAAGACACGTAACATTACATACAGTATGCTCATTATTTAAGGAATGAAAACAGTTTGTATGAGACACACGTTTGAACTTAAAGTACATTCTTTAGAGAAATGCTTAGAGACGGATGAAATGATGAAGAATGAAATATAGTTAGAAAATATTTGATTATTGTTTAACAGAGAAACTGAAGACAAGTCGTAGTTGTCATGCCGGAAGCAGATTCTGTATTAAGAACAAATTAAACATGATGTAGCTTAAATTCCTCATGTTTTATGCAAACTGAGATGATAAATCAGTTTTTACTAAACGCACAGCACACTTTATCAACCTTGCACATTTGAATGCCTCAAAAGATGAGTCAACATTTTTTATTCAGATTTCTCAAACCACAATAATGTCAACAACGCTCTCTATATATATTAATCTGAATTGAAAAAAATAACAGCCGATAATTATTTGTCCTGTAGCTGATTAAGTTACAAAACAACATGTGTTCTCAGAGATCCAGCCTCTGAGGAGTTTTTGAACATTTTCACAGGAAATCAGAATCTAAGGGTACCTGCACTTCAACGTTTAGTCGCACAGTGTTTAAAAACAGGAGGAGAAACACAACAGTATCGTAGTGTTTTAGTGGTTCAGCACCACAGCTACATAACCACAGACTGCACCCTACATCTGCTTGTACAATTCTACAAACAATCCTGTGATTTGGCACATTTAGTTTGAAGAAGGAGAGGCACAGAGTGATGGTAACAGGGAAGAAAGTCCGGATGTCTTGAAGCCGTCAGACTGGAATGTCAGAAGTCCAGGAGGCCACAAAGAAACAATCACTCTCTTCTCTTCACTGGAAAACACAACACATACATTTCTATTTATCATTAAGGTAACAAAAGGCTGGATTTGAGGAGTTGAGCTCATCAAGACTTTAATATTATCAACAAATAACAGACGGATAACTTCATATGTCTTCATGTCTGTGTGCACATACTAATTATTTCATTATCTTAAACTCATGGTTTGATAGAAAGGTTTTCTAAATCACTTGTTTTTTTATTTCAGAAAATGCTTTTTTTTATAATGTTACACATGTTATTTGTTTTAGTAGACCTTGTTGTTGTCTTGTCTCATCTTTATGATTTTTAAAGTCACACCACTTTTATTGCATGATTTAGCAGCCCAACTATCAAAGCAAAGAGGATTGTGTGCACATCAAATCCAAGCCGGGTAAAAAAGCAGAGGAAGAGAAACAGTTTTAAAAAGTTTCCATGTGCATCAAACATCTAGCAGTGCCTCCTGTGAGAAAATGAAGTGACAGTGTGCTGCAGCCGCCTGGCAAACGGCGAAAGAGTCTATCAAAAATAAAGCTATCTCAGAATCTTTCAAAAATAATTTCCTGTATGTTCCCCTTCATGGCGTCTAACAACAAAGAATTTTGCAAGTTAGATAGTGGGCAGGAGTTTGCTTGAACATTTTGATGGACTCATTCCTCCACAGCTACAACGCTCTCCTCTCCTCTCCTTTCCTCTTCTCTCGTTTCCTCCCCTCCCCTCCCCTCTCCTCTCCTCTCCTTCCCTTCCTCCTCTCTCCTCTCCTCTCCTCTCCTTTCTTTCTGCTGACTAGTTTCCCAAATCTCCTGCAGAGTTTTATAATTTCTTTAGGCAGCAGAAGGTTTCCATAGACGTGTCATTTTTACATTAGGGGAACCATTACAGCCAGAATACCAAGTTGACTGAATTTATAGGAAAACGCATTCAAACACCATTAAAATCAATTCAAAACTGACATACAGTAATGGAGTTAAGAAGGCCCACAGGAGGTCTTGATCTAAATTCTATCGTGGTTAAAGGTTTAAAAAAAAAAAAAACAGCCGGTAACATGTACAGTAGATCATCTTTAAGCAGCCAGATCCAAGCCCTATATTTCCCTTTTCCCTGCGTTATTTTTTTCTTATCCTTGAATCCCACTGTTTTCTCTCAGAGGCTTTAAGATTAGATTAACTCAAACGTCTGCAGAGCCGGAGTAGAACTGTTTAATGGGAGCTGAAGAAAAGCTTTACATAAGCCTCAATGAGGATTTATTGGTTATGTAAGAAAAGTACTGTAGAAAAGGGGGATTCATGGAAGTTTCTCAGGCTGACACTGACAGGAAGACTGAAGAAAAGAGGGCGGGGGGGGGTGCACAGGGGAGCAGGACTGTGCTGAGTCACACACTTCAGACGTCACAGGATGCAAGAGGGGCCTCCCGTCACCACAGAAGAAAGTTTCAGGAAGGGTATGAGCAAACAAAAACATGCAGGGACTGCAGCTAATAACATGCAGGAGATGCGAGCAGTGAGGTGTCCTAGTTACGCTCAGATTACTGGAGTCGACATGTTTCAAGACACAGACATCAAAAAAGTCCCCTGTGCTCATTTATTTTGTTTTGGTGTTTTATAAGACAAGATCCCGTAAAAAAAATTGAAGAATGTCATTTGCTGCTTACAGTTTATGGATTCTGGGAAGAAAAACGACCAATCAACTCCAGCTGGGTCTCCTGAGTGAGACTGTGTGACGCTGAAAATGCAGAAACACCCAGTGACCCCTGGATTCATCGTGAAAGATGTTCCCAAAGTACACCAGTACAACAAAGTTTTTTTTACCCACAGAAAATATCATCAATATCAACACGCATGACAAAGGATCAGAGGGACCCAAACCTTGTGATTTATTCTAATAAGTTGGTGATGCAGAGTGAGAGTAGTGTGCAGGATCTTTTCTCTTCTATGTGATAGTTCAATGACCTTTGCACCTACTTCATGAGATGTGAGAACACCTCCTTTAAAACCCAGAAAACATCATAAAATGGGACGAGAAGAACAGCTTAAACTATGTGGACATGTAAGTATTTAAAAAAAGAAGTTGTTGAGAATGACCTAATCTTTTGAGACGTGCAGGGTAAGAAAACAAGTGGAAGCATTCTCAGTTTATGAATACATGAATAGTTTATAGGAATATATCTACCAGGAAGATGTAGTTGTTTGTGCCATGTACAGTTTTTGGGTCTGTTCCTTTAAAGGGGAAGGGACAGAGTAGGACTTACACAGTGCTGGTGTCGGCCAGTTAAATGGATTTGATGACAATGACGTACATCTAGTGTAACATCATGTTTATCCTTTATAACCCTGTACCTGAAAAACATGCCACTTCTATAAAATAAATGTGGTCTTACCAAGTAGTCGTCCAGCTCAGAGTCCGATTGGCTCATGTTGAAGGACGGCAAAGGATGCTCCAGAGCGATCGTTGAACTGGAGGCTCGTCGGTCTTCACTGTGATATTAAAGAGGAAATATGATGGAAAGACGATTATGATCATACCTGGTCTCTTTTTGCCCCTTGTGATTACAATTTAGCTCCACTGACATATTTGTGTGGTAGCAGTATTTGTCAGTATTTGAACAAGTTATCTATTCAGTTGTTACTGGGGGTTTTCTGGTGAGTCTTGACTGTTGTGGTTCTTAAGTAAATCAAAATACATTTTCCAAGAAATTCAAATCTAGAGCACTATAAGAATAATATTTTTTTATTTGAACTGCTTATCAATTTGCTGCAAAGTAAAAAAAAAAAAAAAAATTGTGTGTGTGTGTGTGTGTGTGTGTGTGTGTGTGGGGGGGGCTTTTTGGCTTAAAATGAATTGAACAGTTGAACAAAGACAGGAAATGTTGGGAGGAGGGAGTGGGGGAGGCCATGCAGCAAAGTGCTGAGGTCAGATTGGAACCTATAGCCGCTAAAAGAGGACTAGGGCCTCCGTACATGGGGCCCGCAACATAACTGCTAGGCTATCTCCTGTCCCTAACATTTCTTTAAAATGAGAATTATTACCCCAAATTAAACATGTTGATACTTCAATAATAATAGCATTGCTTTACATGATCACTAGATCAGTGGTTCCCAAAGTGGATGAACTTTATGGACTTTATTTAACTTGTTGAAATACCTCATTGAATCATGTGATGCTTTAGTGTGTTTTTATGTGTTTTATGTGCTGTCCTGTAAATGTTTGTTTGTATTGTGTTTTTTATGCACTCTGTGCAAGGCAAATTGCCCTAGGGGCAATAAAGTTTTAATTCATTCAACTCCACTCACTCGCCAGGGGTAGCGAGACAAAAAATGTCAATTTAAAATGATTACAATGTTTTATATTTTCCCATCTATGTCAACATTTTCAAAAAAAATAGTTTAATTTAAAAATAGTCACAGGGTAAGATTTATGCTGTAATGAGTAAATTAGAAAATTGCAGTAATATACCACGACATAAGTATCATGTTAATTATCCTGCTGCTTGTGATCGTCAGCTCTGCGCTCTGTGTTTTAATGTGAAGTGATCAAACACTGTAAACTTAATAAGATACAGAGCTCAAGTCAAAGATCTGCACACAATAACTACCTGCTTTCAGGATCCTTGGCATCAGTCCTGCTGGACTCAAAAGAAACTGCAGGTCTGGGCAGGAGATCTGGTTGTTTGGAGGAAGTGTAAACTGTGGACAAAGAAGATCCAGAATCAGAAAATGTGAAATGACCTTTCTCAAAATGACACAAAATGTTGTCACTGTATTGTTTAAGCGGGCTTTTTAGACGTACATTTTCCATCCAGGTTGTCCATACTTTGAGCCTTCTTCTCCTCCTTCTTCTCCTCCCGCCGTGCGCTCAATAACTCCTGAGACGCTGACCTCACTGCGTAGAAGGAAGTCCTCTTTCTCTTTGAAGACGCCCCTCTTAAAGCTGAGACACACAAAGAAATAATGTCAAACAATAAAATAAACACAGTGCAGAATCCAGATGTGTTTGTTATGTTTCTGCAACAACTTACGATGATTCTTTTTAAATACAGTCGAGCCCATGAAATTCAGGAATCTGTCGGCGTAAAAACTGGGCCTGTGAACCGACACGGTGTCCTGAAAGGTAAAGAAAGCTGTCAGATATGTACACACAAAAACACAGACACACACTGAACACCTGTACAGATGTGTTTATGTTCTATGTAATGTAACCAGTTACAAGCTACGTACCCCATCATGCACTAGAGCTTTCCAGGAGTGTTCAACCTTCTTAATGAATCTGAAAATAACAGTTAAAAAAACCTGTTACTGATCACATGCCATATAAAACATATATTTATGTCTTCATCAGTTGGTACAATTTGAAATTCAATATACTTTTAAGCTCCTGTGAGGAGTTTTTATCTGGTTCTGATACCTTAATGTGACCCTCAAAGACCATCAATGGACTATAGGCCCAATCACACGGAGACGCATCGCTGGAAAAGCGAAACCATTGTTTTACTATAGTATGGTACAGTGCACTTGCCGGGCGCTCCTCTCTGCTGCTGCGCTTTACACTTTTGTAGCGTTTTTTGGGCATGTATTAAATTAAAAATATTTCAACTTTTCTGCTCAAGACAGGGAATCACAGTGCTCCTCAATCTCACTTTTTGCTGAAGCAGCCAATCAAATCAAGTAGGAGGATTACATCTAGGAGCAAAAAAAGGGGGAGAGCGCCACGTTTTCTAGAATCCATCTTTTCCCACATATTTTATTTAGTTACCTGTATGCATACGCGGTCGCTCCTAGCTGTTTTCCCCAGATACACTCAAGCATTTTTTGGAGCAATGTAACAATGCTTCTCCGTGTGATTGGGCCCTGTTTCTATATTGACACTTTTTATTCCTAGAACCTCTTCCAACAGGTCACTGTTACACTAAAAGAGCCTTTATTTTCATTTTACACATCTAAGATTCATATTATTATTATTTATTTTTTAAGTTAAAGTTGCTGATGGGACGTTTATTTGTTCCTCTGCAGGTTCATAAAGAAGCCGTAGACCTCCTGAAGGAGCTGGGATGAAGACTGTTTTTTTTCTGTTTTTTTTTAACCCCACCCCCTGAGGACCTGTTTTCAATCGCCTTATTGAACTTTATTTTATACACATTGTTTTCTAAAATTCATATTGAGTGAATGTTTGACTTTGTCCACACGGGGGCGCCAACATAAACACAAACCTTTAGTTCCTCACAAGAGCGTTACAAATGATGACCAAAATAGTAGTCAGGGGAAAAATTATTTTTAGGTGTGGTGAGCTGAACGTTTGTGAACCTCTAGTTGAGGAGACTGGACTGTAGAATGTAAACATATCACTAAAACATTGAACAGGTTGAACAGTAAAAAGTGTGTTTTATGTGACAGTGTGAACTCACCTGTAGGACTGAAGGATGTCAATGATTCCTAAAAAGATGAGAAGTTGCTCGTCTTTATGTCTGGCAGGAATTCCTCCCATTCTGAAAAAAAAGCATGTGAATGTTTTAGACAGTTTTCATGACACAAACAAACATCTTTGTTGTTTCCACAATACGGTAAATTGTAAAAATTTGTCTCACGTTTCGTCGTCTGCCACTGGATCGGGGTCCTTCACGTTCCCCTGGATGGACTCCAGAGCGGTGGAGTAAAGGACTTTCTGTCCCTTCCTACTGTCACACCTGCTTCCTCTGCTCAGAGGCTTCCTGTTCAGAATGTGAATCCCCAACAGGAGACTGTAGTCCATGATCTTAAAGCTCTCCAGGACCTGATCAGAGACAGACACTGAACGTAAGTTTCTCAATCTTTAAAAGCAGCAAAAATCAAAATCAAACTTTTACTCCCACAATGTGACACTGTCATAGCTCATGTATAAACTGGACATTATTGTTGCAGTATGATTGCTCCATCTGCTGCTGTCTGTCTGTATTGCATCATCTGGTTGTGAGATGCTAAAAGTAATAAAATATATATAAACTTAATATATTGTGCACTTTCACTGTCTCCGATCTTGTGCCCACAACATTTTATCTTGTGCACACATGATATGTTTCTTGTTGCCACAAGTAATCATATAATTTGTGCACACAAATAAATATCTTGTGTAGACAATATAATTATTAAATTTTTAATTATTAAGTTATTAACTTGTGAGTATAAGATCATTTTCCCCAAGTTTTGGGACGTAAGGAATGACTGCTTTGTTCTTAAAGTATTTATCTCGCTGATTTGATTTATTATCTCACACTGAAGGATTTAAAATGCTGTTGCAGTTTTGTATTTTTCTTTTACTTGAGTAAGCTCGCTGAAATTGTGCATGCTGCCCTTTGAAAAAGTCAGAAAATTAACATGTACATTTGTAGCTAGCTAACTCTGGTTAAATTATGTTTATTGGTGGACTCTCCATGTAGAAAATAATAAGTAATTAAATAATAATAATAAATTCCACCCAAAATGAAGAGGAGCAGAACAGTTGCCAAATGTTATATTGTCTAAGAAATGCAGTTATACTGTCAATAACAGACACAAGATAGTCTGGCTGGATGCTAATCCATTGATTTACCTTACAGTTATCAAGCTAAGCTAACAGTAGTGAGGCTGAGCACATGATATGATACTGATAATTAATGCTAACTGCTAACTGCTAGCTGAAGTTGATTCGGCATTGTTTGTTTTTCTACACTTCTTATTTTCAGTTTTAAAATAAGTATCTTATTAAAGCAGTTAGACTGTAGAAAAACACGTTCTGTTTCAGCATGCACAGTCAATTCATCTTTAACAAACTGTAGTTTTGTCACTTAAAGGGGTTAAGACTGGATCTGAGAACCACAGTACAGTAAGTTCAAATCCCTCTGACCAAACACTGAAGTCATAAGCTCCTGTAAACAAAGAGGCCCTTACTTTCTGCAACGTTACCTAACACATAAAAAAAGGTATTAATCCGAGGCATAACAGGAGCACATTGCAACCCAGATAGACCAGTTTGTGCTCCAGAGTCCAGCTCCAGAGCTCGATAATATGAGTCAGGTGCTTCGCTTTTAATCCTCCATCAAGTGGTTACTGTTGTTTCAGTCTAATGTACTAACAGGCAGGCGCTAATGAGGTCATCATAACCGCTCAAGGTTCAGCAGAGAGAGTGTACATCATGGAAATATGCTGTCATGGTTGCATCATTTTACGGGATTCAGGAGCAGTGTGGCTGAATTTGTCAAGTGGAGATTTAAACACCCGATTGAAAAATAATCAGCAGTATTAGTTAACAGTAAACAAGCAGAAAGCTCTCAGCTCAGCTTCTCACATTTGAAATCTTTGTTTTATATTCTTATAAATTGAATATCTTTGAGTTTTAGAATGACACCAAAACAAAACCTTTGTGAACCCAAAACTTTTAATTGTCATTTTTTATCCAACCAATGATCCCCTGCCCTGCCCATCACCCTTGATGACCATGGATGTAGAAAATGTAGGGTAGGGTACACTGCTAAAGCTAGCTAACAGCTAAAGTTACACTTGATCTACACTGAATGCCTGAGCAGCGTGATAAGCTGAACCTCCTGCTTTTCATTTGCAGCCCATGCTAACAGTTTATAGCAGCAACAACATCAGTGTGAGCGGCAAGCCACGCCCTCTTTACAACAACAGACTGTGGAAATGACATGTTGATAGTTAAACTGACATAAAACCAGCAAAAAACAGACCCTTTACTTTATCTGTCAAATGTGTCACAGACGTGCAGAATCAGCCATCAGCCATGACCACCTGCCTCATATTCTGAATGTGTTACTTGTTTGGCCCGGACCTAAAGAGACATGGACTCCACTAGACCTCTGAATGTGTGTGATGTGGTATCTGGCACCAAGACGTTAGCAGCAGAGTAGTGAAGCAGATTGTGAAAATCAATAATAAAAATAACAATGTAGCTGATTGGCGATTCTGAGACTGATGCCCTACAATACCAATACTATGAACACAGAACAGAGTATGTCCAACAGGTCACAACATAATTTACGCATGTGCCAATATCTGTCAACAGGGCTGATATGAGCCAATACCAAGAAGTTAACTGATGCATCGGTGCATCCCTACAGCAGACACTTCAAGTCCGGTAAGTTGTGAGGTGGGGCCTCCATTGATTGGACTTGGTTGTCCAGCATGTCCCACAGATGCTCGGTTGGATTGAAATCTGGGAAATTTGGAGGCAAACTTTACAACTCAACTCAACATGTTGTTGTGTTCCTTCATGCCACCTTCTTCCATTGCTCTTCGATTCTGATGCTCACAGGGGTCAACATGGGCACCCTGAGCGGTCTGTGATTATGTGCAACAAACTGCAATGCACCTCAGCTATTGAAAACTAAGTGTGTTCGGACTTCTTTCAATCAGAACCAGCATTCACTTTTTCAGCAGTTTGAGCTGCAGAAGCTCGTCTGTTGTTGGACCACACAGACCATCCCTTTCCCCATGTGCATCAATGACCCCCTAACTGCCCATGACCCTGTCTCCACTTCACCTGTTTTCCTTCCTCAGTCCTCATAGACCCTGCCCATGCACTGCAGACCGACATCACCCCACAAGATCTTTGGAGATGCTCTGACCCATGTGTCCGCCCATTACAATCCAGCTTTTGTAAAAGTCACTCACATCCTCAACCTAGCTCATTTTTCAACACATTAACCTCAAGGACAAAATGTTCACTCACTCCCAAACATTTCACACCTACTTACACGTGACATCAGGAGCTTTGCAGCAGACCTGCAGGTGACATGCTTTCTGTGACAGTGAAACACTGAGAGTCTGTGTATCGGGAGTTGCTTGTGTGAGACTTACCCGACAGTCCCTCTGCAGGGTCTTCATCAGAGCATTGTAAGTTTCATGGTCAAAGTTCAGGCCTTCGTGCATCTCCTGGAAGTCCAGGTCCTTGAAGGTGGGACAGGGCTTCGACCGCTCTTTGCGTGAGGCGCGGCGTTTGTACGACGAACCCTTCAGGTCGTACTTGTAGTGCATCTTCATGGCACGAGGCAACACGTTGTTCATCACCACCACGCGGACCGTGACGCCGCCACACTGGATGCAGTAAAGACCATAGAACTTTGGCAGCAACGTCCTCGGGTTCTGATTCAGATTCTACAATTATATTTAAAAAAAAAAGATTACTTTCCAGGATGAATCAGTCACAGACGCGTTTGGTTGGTACAGTTTGGCTTGTTAGCGCATCAAAACACAAAATAACATATACATTTTTAAAGGATGAACATGGCTGTACGATATAAGTAATCCAATAAACACCTCAAAAAGGGTATGCCATAGGTACGAATCATACAGTACAAGCACACACAGGAAACAATTTGTGATATTGATGCAGAAACTGACTTTGGTTTCTCTTTTTATAATTGTTTTTAAATTAAAAACTTTTTCCACTTGTGTGGAACTTTTGAGTTGTGTCAGCCCCTGTTAGTTTATCTCCATGCTGATCTTGTCCTGGACATAAATAGGTCATGTTTTGTTTGTTAAAAGTTATGGTATGAAAATATTTAAATGAGGCTGTTTTGTCCTTCTCTGACACCTACCCCCCATGGCAGCAGTTTCAGGCAATAATAATAACAATAAAGGAATAGTCAAAGTTGTTGTTAATGATTCTGATTGCTTTTGGTGTCCAAAAGAAGTCATCAGTAATTGATTTCAGTTTGTTTAGTTACCAGCTTAAAACTCCTCATAGGAGCTTTAACATACATTTTATAGCATCAAATATTCTTTTAACTAATTAAGTGTGAGCTCTAGACAGGATTAAGGGACTAACTGGTAAATATGTTGGTCAGAACTGCAAGTTAGATTTCTAAAAAACTTTTTTTATACTGTGCAAGAGCAAAACAAAACAAATGAATGGGAATCTGAGTTTATTCCTGCTGCTTGTTTCAAATAGCGAAAGTGCACAAAGAAGAATAGCAGTGTTCCAAATCTTAAAGGAAGAGAAAAAATTCAAGCTAGCACTTTTTTGTAGCAGTTTTGTGTACTTGTGTGCATGTAACCACAGTGAGAGTTTGTGTTTGAAGACGGCGCTCACCATGTAGTAACCAGGGAGCAGCTTCTGCAGGAACTCCGCCTCCTTGTGCTGCACCGTCTTAATGATGAACTCGTCATCACTGGTAAGGTAGAACCAGGAACTGCTGGCTCCGGGGTTGGTCAGCTCGATCAGAGGCTCATTACAGATGGAGTACTGAAATGCAAAATGATGCAACAGTCTTAGCAGGAACAAGTGTAGCAATCAAATTGACAGAAACTTACGTCACGTTGTGTTGTATCAGAGTGATGAAAAACTTTTACCAGATAGTCGTCTGGTTTGATGCCAAACAGCTCTCTGAAGTAACGAAAAGCCAGCGGGGCGTACGTTTTCAGACGGAAATCTGGGAAGTGGTGCGCTGGAGTCAGGTTGCTGCCCTCACTGGAGAACAAACAACAACAGAAGACATTTTGAAATGGCAAAGTAGGGGAAGAACAGGGTAAACATTAAAGATAGAGTCAGTAGCTTTTTCCTAAAAAATAAAAATAAAAAAAATACTTAAATATCATTTATGGGCCTGGTTGGGTTTGGTTGACATAGGATGTTTTGGGGCAGGGAACCGGTGTGGATCCCCCAGCCAATGACAGCACGCAGGTGAGTTTAGGAGTGGATACAGTTCAGCGATTGGGCGTGATTAAAAGTGTTGAATATGACGGACGCAGGTGTAGCAGCAAAACAGAAAAAAATCTAAACTTGGATAAAGCTCGTTCCAAATGGAGGGTGAACCTTGGGTTGGCTTCTACCCCTGGATGGAGTAGGCCTGCTTTCTTTCTGTTGGACAGGCAGGTGTGAAACACTGATGGTTAGCTTGTGCTAGCTTGCAGTGTTGGTACAATGAGTAAACATACACACTACATCCTGCAGTGAGTGTGCACTTCTGGGGTCAATGGGCCCAGTTTGAAGGTTGTGTTTACAAGCTGCAACAAACATGGCTACTTGATTCTATTGAGTGGCTTTAGTTTAGTGTCCTTTGGATGCTGTCTTGCTGTCATTACCAGGACACTTTAAAAGGACACAGCCAGCATTCATGTTTTGTTGGTATCTGTACTTTTCCTGCTGTGACTTGTGAAATCGTCTGCTGACCAAATCACCTATTGCTGCAATGTGTGGTTTTGTTTTGCTAAACCTTAAGTAATCCAACTGTACACTTTGAATATTGACTTCTCTTTTCTTAATAAACAAATCTTTGTACTGCAACGTCTTGGCTTTTAAAGAGAAATGCGTAACATCATGCGCATAGCCTCCAAGTTTCCTAGAATTTCCAAGAAAGGAACCTGTTAAACAATCTACACTTTATAAGATAAACAGTTTGAGAAGTCTAACATATCAAACTATGTATGCTATAATTTGCACTCTTTAGGATGCATACAAAGTTTTGGAAATTATTTTTAAATACAGAGCCATTTTTTCACATTTTGCAATTATGTTGACTCACTTGTAACTCACTTGTTTTAAAAATGTTGTCCAAATGCACAGTTAACTGAGCAGAATATGGCTTTTAATGGGCAGATTTTCTCATTTAAAACTATACACGAACAGACGTTTTTCCTCCATTTTATAAGGGGAGTGCAGGGAAATATAACATGACCGCTAAATAAAAACCAATCTATCTGCACGCCTCCTTCTGGAGATGAAAAACGAAGATATTTGGGGTAGTTTGGGGGAAAACAATCTTTTAGTTTCATCTACAAGTATTATTTTAATTCTGTTCAGTGTCCACAATTAAAATATGCAGATTTGAGAGCTTACCTGGGCAGATAAACGCTCTCCACCACAGAGAAGTCCTGCATCAGAACATCTCGGTCTGGTTTGGAGCTGAGGTTTCCTACAGCGTAACCGATGCCCAGCTGGATGGCTCCTTTCAAGGCAGCCGGCGTCGGCTAACAAAACCATCGCACAGAGAAAGAAAAGAAGAATATTATTTAACATGGCATCTATATAGTTGTCATTGTTTACATTCTGACAGAACAATCTCAGCTACTATTGGATGGATTGCCAGAAAATTGTGGGTAGACATTCGGGTCCCCTAAGGATGAATCCTTCTGACTTTGTTACTAAACTTTGACAACTGGAAGTCTCCTAACAAAATACTGTCTTTAGTGTTAAAGACTAAATGAGTCAAGCTTTTTTTGTGTCATTGTGGTCCAAACAGAGGATGTTAGACATGTTTCCTTCCATGATCATTAATGATATACTTGCTTACCTTTTTGTGATCCTTTGACACTTTAGAGGTTTTGGTTCCTCTTCCCAAACTGTCGTTGGTGGAAGAGGTCGACATTTTTTGCATAGAGAGAACCTGACCAGAGGGAAGCACGGATGTTCTTCCTCCAACAGTGAAGTCAGCTAAGTTCCTTATTTCCCCTCAGTGATAAACGTCCAGACCGCAGTGATTTACCTTCAATGAGCTCTACTGAAACTGCATTTTCCAAAAACCCCGCTCCTGTAAAGAGAAGAAAAGTTACACAACATGTGGCGTTTGCATGAATGAGAATGCAAAGCACACGTCAGCTGGTGAAAAACTGGACGGCCATGCTGCTAACCTCAAAGTAACATCTATGGGCTTCAGAAATCTCTTCCACAGTTTGTCTTTTCCTTATTTTCTAACTCCAAACTTTCTTTTAACCAGCAGAGCTTTCAAGTCAGCAGACCTTTCTGTCCAAGGCTCCTCTGAGTTATGAGGGGCCACCAGTGTTTTCTCAGAGTGTTGAGCTCCAGAATCCCTCAGAACGAACCTTGATCCTCATTAAGAAGGATTGGAAAGTGATTACATACCAAATTCCCTTGTTTTATAACAGAACAGGAAAGGACTCGTGTTTGTTTACTTGAACCTCAACTCTCTAAAACGCCAATAGAGATGCCCAAAACAACTAATTAAATGGCTTCTACAGATAGTTGCTGCTGCAGAAATATTGATGTAAAATCCAGAGATTACATTGTGACTGTGGTTCTCCTGTTGTAGGTCGCCGGAGCCACAACTCAATACTATTGAGTGCCAAGTGTTTATTTTACTGATTTGTTTTTACTTTTCTCATTTTGCAGTAAGCTTCTTTAAATGTACACCAATTACGGTAATTTGGTTAAACAAGGTGGTTTGGTTACTTTTAATACTGTATAAATCATAAATACTTAAACCAGTTATTTAAAAAAAAACATTTAATGATGATTATTTAACGTAAGCTACCGACAATAATTTTAAAATGATGAATTTGATCATTGTTTGACAAGTTGCGACTGAAGTTGAGGGAGCAAATTTGCAAAATCCTGCACAGATCCTGCACAGGCAAGCCTCCCCCCCCCCTGTTTATTTTAAGACTTGCTTCAGGATGTGGCTTTTGTGGTCTGACAGAAGAAAATGAAACAATTCTCACAAGTGTCATGTCTTCTTTCTTAAAGGTGCACTTTGGAGTTTTGGTAGAGAAATGTGAAAGTTGGAGAAGTGTACATATTCTGTGGTACATGTTCATAACTCTACACACAAACTGTCCTCAGAGGAAAATTTAGCTCTGCGAGAAGTTATGGTGGTCGGCCCGCAACAGAGAAACCGTAACTCTCCTGGTAGCTTTTTAGCTCCAAACAGTGCTCTTTCCTTTGAATAAAGTTTGTGTACTTAGTTCAGAAAATAAAGCATAGAATTGTGTCACTTCTCAAACTTTCAAATGTCACCACCAAAGTGCACCATTAAGGATTTACTTTTGTCTATGTGTTGGTATGCACGAGTTACAGGCTGAAGAGAACAAAAAGAACTGTTTAAGGTGATTGGTTTTATTGGTTTTCATAAACAGACGGTGGGTGGTTACAGTCATGATTTGGGTTGTTTATTTTTAGATACAGTTGAGTCTTTGGCTGGTTATTTCAGGTTTACGCTGCTTTACTTAAAAAACAAATAAAGCTGCATTACAGGTTTGTATTAGGGAAAACCACTGGATTAAACATTAGTGCATTAGTTTGCACTCTGCCTAGTGAGACATATTGTAAGGAATGCTTTTAATGCTTTTAAATGTCACTCAATGTCGTTGCCAAGGCTGTTCCTGTTTTTAACAAATAGACAAACATCACTAATACACCACGAGTCAAAGGTCAATACTGATTTGTCTGTACATGTGTCAATCAATCTCAGGGTTGGAGCTGTTGCTTAGCTAGCCTAGCTTAATGTACTAACAGGACCTGCAGCGTAACGACAGGTAGGCTAGCTGTCATGCTGAAAACGCTGAAAGTCAGCGTTTTCAGAAAAAAAGCTCCAGTAGAGTTACAGCTTCCTATGAAAAGTGCGAGGCAAAGAGTATGCTGCGTTTTGCACACATTGTAGGTCTCCATATTCAGTCGCCCACGTTGGGAATGTCAACATACGGAATGATATTAAGAGCTGGAAGTTGTGACCTCCTTCAGTGAAGCAAACTCCGGGGACTAGCTTAAACGGGCTGCTCGGGAGGGTAGCTTTGCCTACAACCTTGTGTGATCAGTGCAGGTCACAGATCTGTGGGTCGATACATGTGGCGGTTTGCTGTAAAATGAAAGTATCCCGATTTGGAGGACTGAAAGTAGTGTCATGCACCCTAAGTTTATGTGCAGGAAGGAAAACTTTATCCACTGCCAAGAATAGCAGTTACGATCTTCTAATCTCTGAAGCAACGTACTAAACAACACGCTTCTACTAAGCTAGCTGTCAGAGAGCAAACCTTGGTTCAGCTCACTTTAGCTTGGCAGACCAAGGAGGAGCCACTCCAAACATCCAGCTTGATTTAAACCACTACCAGCTCCATGATCTGTAAACCAGGACTAAACAGGCTGATAGTAAGGTATGTTGATGACGACATGCTTCATATCAACTATTGAGTCTGTCGCCTTCAGAGAACTGATTATCAAAATACTGACGTATTAAAGACAGCTTCAATGTGATATGACATGTGAGAGTTGTTTCATCTCACACTGCCACAGCAACGAGTATTCAAGTTAAAAAGGAACACTTAAGTACGTAACTTTCCAAAGTAACAAGTTACTATAACAACGCAGCTTAGTTACTCAGTAACTTTTTGATAGTAGTAAACTGAATTTGAATAACTCTCCCATCACATTCAGAATTATGAATGATAGTCTTGGAATAGTATGTCCATACCTTTCTATTTTAACAAATAAGGCTTATTGTGTTTTCAACTATCCATTTATTGACAATAGATTGAAAGTTAAAGACACCTCTCAGTATGAAGCAACATTATTTAGAGGCACCACAAACTAAAGCATCCACCATAACCAGAAACTTTCCATCCACACCTCTGGAAACCTTAAAAAAACCCTTCTCCAGGTATGATACAACAAAGGACGTTTGTGCAGGCTTATGTAGAGTCAGGTGCATTCAGGGGAATATTTAAACCTGCACGCTCTCCCATTACCTCCGTACTGCAGCTGTTTTGAATACATGTAAATGATGAAACATGCCCTCCCAGCTTTTTGCCGACATTTTACTTTCTCTCTGACTGAAGGGAAGTGCAGCTGATTTCCTCTTGTGATACTATCAGCAGATCATCTTCCTCCTGACAGACACACAGACAACCTGTACAGGTTGTTTAACACTTTCATATTTATTATTATTATAACCATTGATGCTTGATTATCATTATATTACAGGAGTTTAAAAAAAGCTTCCCTTACAATAGGTCACTGGTGCAGAAACAGATGTTAAAGTTTGACTAGTGGCTCCATCTTTATTTTCTAAAATAAATAAAAACTAGATGAGTTCAAGGAAAAAGAAAGCGCTCCGTGCACTCACCTTATCAGACATGGTTGTGGGGAGACATTGTTGAAAGCAGGACGGTTTAACACCGCTGATGACACTTCACTGTTGTGTTACTCGTGGACTGACTGTGGTGAGAGGAAGACTGAAGTGCTGCAACAAATGGCAAGCATCCTCAACACTTCCTCTCTCTCTCTCTGTCGCTCTATCTCTCTCTCGCTCTCTCTCACTTTGTCGCTGAGTTGTAAACAGAAGTTTGAGAGGGAAAAATTTTGTTTTTGAGGGGACTTTCCCACATGTTTTTTATTTCTTTTAAATCTTCTTGTTGGTAAGTGTGTTAACATTTGATACTGTATGAGTTTGAATATTAATTTTAACCTGCCTGTGATTTACTTTCTATACTGTTTCTGCTTTAACTGTTCATAAAAATGTAATTTGTTTGTTTTTTTGAGGAAGTTTACTTTTTAGAAAAGTGCAGAATAAAATGTCTAATGACAGTTACAGCTCCTTAAAAAATAAAAGGACATTCAATAAATGCACACACATTTAACATATTAATAAAGATAAATAAAACATTTTCACAACAGAAAAAAGTGCTTCAGCTCAGTCTTAAGTAAAGTCTGACCTCTTTACAGATGTGTTAGGATACTGCATATTAAACATGATTGTGTTATGAAGTAGTTGCTGCTGCTCCTTCACTTCCAAAGGAGCCCGTTGAGGTGGTTCAGGCATCTGATTAGGATGCCTCCTGTTTAGAGGGAGGGGCGCCTCCAACTGGGAGGAGACCCCCAGGTAGACCCCGAACTCACCTGAGGGGTTATTTATCTGGCCTGGGAACACCTCCGGATCCCCCTGGAGGAGCTAGAACACATCACTGGGCAGAAGGACATCTGGGTCAACTTGATTAGCCGGTTGCCACGGCGACACAGACCTGGATAGATATGAATGCACATTAAAGATTGTTTAACAAAAACACTTGTATGTATGTTAGAACTGTTTAATCATACGTCATGTAATCGCATGATTGAGTGATTCATATCTTTATTTTTACTGATAAAGAAAAGATGAATGATGAAACATGAAAAGTCATATAAGAATAAATGAAAAGTGAAAACATAGGCTCTCATAGTCAACAGTGCAGCAAATAAATCATATATGAATAATTATAAGATGCAAACCTTCCTCCCCTCATCTATTTAAACGTTTATTTTGTACTATTTCTTCAACAGAAGGACAGCTGTGCTTTGGTTAAATTTGATGTTCAGACATTTCCACTAATTAGGAAGACTTTTCAGACAGTTCAGACATTTCCACTAATTAGGAAGACTTTTTAAGTATGAACTTGGATACAGGAAATATTTTTAATTCAATGCAAAAGATGATTATTATGATTACTATGAAGCCATTATACGTTTAGCCGCACATTGTCTTGTTTAACAGCTCATACTTAGCAGGCCGAGGACAGAAAAGGAAACGTGGAGGGGAAAGATAAAAAATGACGTGCAGCACACTCAGCTTGGCTAATGTGATTAGGTACATTTACTTATGTCAAACTTTTCACTCAAGGGGAATGTATAACAGAATGTACATTGAAAAACACGTACCGGTAATAAGCTTGTACAAGAAAGTTCACTGAATTTTTTTGTCCTTGCTTTCTCCTTAATCTTATCGGGTATGGTATGTGACCCTTTGAAGGGACATGGGTACCACAGGGATAGATTACTGTAAGCACCTTGAGTTAAATGCTGCTTTTACATAAGAGTATCAACCAAAGACTGTAAATAAACAAGGACACTCAGAGACATCACCCATTGGTTACTGAAGGGGGCAGTTGAAGTCTGTCAATGTCTGAATCTAACTTTCAGTCAACCTCACAAAAGGTAAAGAGCTGGAGCTGAGGCGGGTCTTATGCCTCCTGACAAACAGCTACACCACACCCGCCCATCAGTAAGGTTAGCCCCGCCCCTTATTATGAATAATGCTTATTCTTCATGAAATAAAAATGGATGGGTTCTGAAAAACATTCTACCCTTGTATAGTGTGTGGCAATAAAGACATGGGCTATATGACCAATTTTTGTTTTTATTGGGTTAGTGTTACCAGGTTGTAAACATGTTTGTTTCTAACAACACTGTACCCTGAAAAAATGCACAAAACATGTATGGGATCAGGCAAAGTGAGGGCAAGAGGTATAAAGGGACTGAACGGTATTGTCGGCCATATAATGCTCAATGAGAGCCAACCTCACAGGGTAACCATCAGGAATAATATATGAGTTTTCTTCCTTTTTGTGCACAAAACCTCAATCTGATAAATTTGTTTCTGATAGGTTCAGGTTCACTCCTAATGTTTGTGAATCTGCAATCTGCAGAGGTCAGAAGTGTTGTGGAGAATTTTTTTTAACTTTTTCAATCCCACTTAAAGCTCCATCTGTCAAAATCATGCCTTCTTAAGTAGGTATATTGGCAAAAAAAATAAAAAATGTCCTTCCAGGTACTGGGATCATTGAAAAGTAAAGATGTCAGTGTCTCCCTCTGACCTCTAGAGGGTGCTGTTGCAGCTCTGAAACACCAGGCAGTTTCAAAAGGTTTAATCACCCTCTCACATAACACTAACACTTAAATATGTGCTCACCTAAGCTGCTGTATATTATGTCATCTATTTCAGAATGACCATATCAACATTTTTTTCCTCCATTTAGTTTATTTTGTTCTTCTAGTTCCTTTCAGCCCCCTTTTTTCATTATTTACTCCTCTCACCCTCATTTTTAGTCTTCCTTCCTTCCTTAAATCTCTTTTATTCTTTTTCTCCCATGAATCTTTGTTGTTGTCTTCCTCCTAAGTGGGACAGAGTTCGAGCTGTCAGAGGTTTGTTTGGGAACACCAGAGGGGACATACTGCCTGCAAGTTACAGACCTGAGGCCATCAGATATCATCTCAGCCTCTCCAAGATACAACACATGACCTTTGTCACATTAAGCTTCATGACAGCTGCTGGTTTGATGTTATAAGTCTTCCTCTTGTCGCCATTATATATTTCACTGGGCATTAAACGAACAGTCAGAATTTTCCTGATGGAGGTCCCCCATTGATAAAGGAATGTAAGCATTTCTTATTCTGTGAGGCCACGGCTCTGATTCTCTTAAACTACACCTCAATATGAGCTGGCCAGATACGTGTACGTACAATGGTTAGAAGGTCAACCAAACCTAGGTTTTAAAAGCAGACATTTAAAACTACATTTCCCAACAATCATTTTCATCATATTTTTTTGCTAAATTTGAAAACGTATTTTTCCTCACACACAAAAAAAACCTCAGCTTATTGTTACAACAGATCAAAACACATTCTCACTTTTTTAAAGGTTTATTTCTCGGCTTTTATGTCTTTATTTTAGAGGTAGGACGGTGGATAGATTTAGAAATCAGAGAAAGAAAAAGTTGAGGGTGACATGTGGGGAAGGAGCCCATGGGTTGGATTTGAACATGGACTGCGCACTAAAGGGTACCAGCAGAACACTCTCAGTACTATTTAAACTGTGACAGCTCATCTGTTTGTCTGTCTGTTGCACAAATGTCTGCTTGGACTCCAGGATAACCCGTTCAGATATGATTAGAGGTTATAATAATTAGACAGAGTAATACACTGACAGTCCTTTCCATTAAAGTTGAATTATTGAATCTAACAAACACTGATGAGTCTGAACTGGATTATATCACAGATTCTTTCTTGTTTCTGAAACTTGCTGTGTGTGTCCTTAGTGTGTGGAGGTTTCTCCGACTTCAGAGTACGTCTGTTTATTTGGGCGTGTGACGTTTCACCGCCATCTTCAACCACAATGTTGTGGAAGTCAGATCCACAACACGATGACATGAGAGCAGGAACGTTTTATTTTTGAACCACTTTCAAACAGAGGACAGCATGTGTCATAACAAAGCACCAACAACAACACATCCTCTACAACCCTTTGTGTTGTGAACAAACAGTAACCTAATTTATCAAAATTAGAAACATACACTCGTTACATGTGACGCAACCTTTTGTGAGTTTCCGGGCATTTCATTTGGTCTCCTGTGAGTTGGTTTCCAGCGTCTGTGTTGATACAGCTGTGTTCATCAGACGCAGTCAGAATCTGCCCTCAGGGCTGCTGGGAGCTTTTTGACACCTGAAACAAACATAGAGATGGTAAATGATGAGTTCTGCATACTTGTGCATATGCACTCTTCAACATTTTAGAAAATAGTCCTAAGTTGGTTGTTCACACATGCATCTCACAGCAGGAGACCATCCATGTGGGATGTGAAAGGAATGGGTCTCAGGAGGCAGGACATGGCTGACAAAAAGTCTGATATACAACGCTAAGATTAAAATTTTTGCCTTTATATCAATGTAGTTATCTATAGTTTTGAAACAACAAGGACAAAAGAGCGGAGAAGAACATACTGGAGAACAGAAAACAAAGGAAGCAGTTTCATTAGGTGCATGGAGATCATACCGGGAGCGTGTATAAAGGTTGTGCGCCAGACTCAGGATGTAAATGTCACCATCCCGTCCCACACGCTCACTGGACATTTTCCAGGAATATCACCCGCTGAGTTCTCACATCAGTTCACCACGACTTCAAGCGGTAACTCTACCAGGGGGCTGGCTGTCCGGATAAAGTCAAAGGGGGAAAATGTGGCTGTTTTTGTTCACACATGCAGTCCTGAGCACGTCATGAAGTTGTAAACTTTTCAGGAGTTTTGTGCAAGTGAGCAAGCACCAATATGTCCGGAGCATCAGAGAGACCAAAGGAACATAAGAGAGGAAGTTAGCCTGACTTAGTCATGACTTTAAAGTGTTTTGGAAAGTGGAAACCTCTGGCAGAAATAAACATGTTCCAGTCTGGTACAAAGTGATGTTTTTGGAATCCATACCAAAGGGCTTAAATCACACATGAATAGAGGGAGGCTGTCCTGGGGTTGCTGAGTGTTATTCTTTTTGCAGAATGTTTTTGGCAGATATAGGTATAGATATATTTCTCATCATACCTTGTTTGTATTCCATTCAATCCGCCAATGAATAAACCATTCAAAAGCCCTCATATCGGCATAATCTTTGAAACAACAGTTTGATTACACCATGTCGCGAGCTTCTCTCTTTCATCCAATCGGTCATGTTTTTTAGTCATTTCTGGCGGCAAGAAAACACGATGGAGATTTACAAAAACTGCCAAATGGGAGGCTTCTACTTCTAAACCACAGTCCAGTTTAAGGGGCGATGTCACACTGGCATCTTTTCAAAAGTGTCTGTGATGGTTTGTACCCTCTCAACCCGACTTAAATGAGATAAAAAAAGGTATGTAAGGCCTTCATTAGGAGTGTAAGAAGAACAGATCAGTACCTGTTTCTCCAGGTGATCAATGTGTTTCTGTCGCCTGTCTATCATTCTCTCCTGGGCTGAAACTGCAGAAGTTAGACTGGCGAGCTGCCGGGCCTGTTTATCCATGAAAACCTACAACACAAAAAAAGAGTCATAAGAAGAAGAAAAACTGTAAAATGGGCATAAATACACGTTGTTTTTTTTGTTTTTTTATAGTTTTCCTTGGAAAATCAACAAATAGTACGACACCCTATGTGCTTTCCAAAATCTGTTGTCTTTAAGTAAATGGGAAAATCTTCATTTATATTTTGTTATTGGATGGAAATCTTGTTTTGAGCTCACCTTCACAGACCCCATGTCCAGCTGAGTCTGACCCCCCGGCCTGGGCTCGCTCAGGCTCTTCACTCTCTGCAGGATCTGGCTCATTCTTTGCTGCATGACTCCCTGCTCCGTCTCCAGATCCTCCATACCCTTCTGCAGATCTTTGAGCGCCCTCCACAGCCGGTCCCCTCTGGCTCTCAGTATCTGCAGGTCCTTCCTCGCCTCAGGAACAAAAATACAACATTATTCATATAGTGACGGCCATATTTACAGTAATGAGTTTCTTGTGAATTCTTGTTGGATCTTATTGTTTCATCCTCAATGTCTCACTTTGTGACAGCTGATTTCATTTGAATTTGAAATAAATAATTTTTAAAAAGTCCTGTTTGGTGTGAGCAAAAGCAAATCAGTCAAATAAAAGAAATATAGTTAGAGGAGCCTCTATCCAATCAGGGGGGTTAGCATTCAGATACATGTAAGAATATGTGAGTTTTTTTCACTCCAACAGAGATCTGTCTCAACCTTGAATGTGACCATTCAACCATAAAAAGATGGTCTCATTAATATAACAGTTATATTTGATTAGAATCACAGCTTTTGTATCTGCTGGTGCTGTTTAAAGTGCTACATGAATATGAACACCGGGAAAAGAAAAAAATGCAAAAAGCACCCTGGAGACTAAAAGATAAATGAAAATAATTTTGGTTAAATAGAACGAGTTTAAAAAAGGATATAAACAAAAAAAATAACATAAAGAAGTCAAAATCCTATAGCTGTGAAAGATTTGACGAATTGGATCTCAGTTGAAAAGGCAGGTTTGATTGGCTGAGGATTTCCATCATAAAAGAATACAATCTTTAAAACAATGCATCACCATAATTTGAATAAACGTGTATTATTGTTGAGGAAAAAAAAAGTTTGGAAAAAGAAGTGCAGTTATCCATCTGGGAGTGAAAAAAGCAAGAGAGGGAAAAAGGAAGAGGAAATTAAAAGGAAGAGGAAAAATTAAATATATATAATTAAATATATAATAAGACAAACATTTAGTTTTGAGATCAATACTATATTTTGCGGAATGTTATTGTTTTTTATTTGAAGCTATCAACAACATTTTAAGTTCGTTTCAGATTATTTATCACTCAGTGGTCGTTGATCGCTGGTTGGAGGGGCCCACTGGGAATTTTTGCCAAGGGCCCCAGACTCTATGGAACCACCACTGCTCAGGAGCTTTAACCCTCTTGGTTCAAGGGAAAAAAAACTGTAAAACTATAAAACTTGATTTAGAAAGTTCAGGATGAAACAACATGTTTGGAGAAAGCGTTTCACACTTGTAGAAGTGGCTCTGTTGGTGGATCAACATCAAAAATATCCTGACAAAATCCATTCAGCATTTAAGACATTTTTGGAAAGAGATACCAAACATTCCTTGCATTTAAGCAATTTGATGTGTTTTTTATTTTTTTATTTGAGACTTTTTAGGCCACAAAGCATCTGCTTTTGTAAATCAGGTTGAGGGCAAAGTCTGATCTGCTTTCCAAACTAACTGAAGAGTAACTTTTCCTCACCTGCCTGCGTGTCCGTCCTGCCTGCAGACTCTGCTTACGAAGGCTCTCCACACTCTTAGTCACTCCGTCTAGCTCTGCTTCCACCTGCTCCCCTTGCTGCTCCAGTCGCTTGGCGTTCTCTTCCACCCCCTGCAGCAGGTGAGCCAGTCCCAGGGAGACCATCCTCACCTGGGCTACGGGGACCACACCTGAAGCCGGGGACGTGGAGTGGGTGGAGGCAGGGTGGGTTTGACAGAGTCCCAACAACAACACCACCAGCAGCAGGACTGGGCTCACCATCATAGTCCTAGATTTCATTAAATGGATGTTAAAATCTAGATCCTAAATCTTGAGAACCATCTAAATCAGAACCAGATCTGATCAAAATAGCAGATCTGTGGCTTCATGCAAAGGTTGATTAAAAAGCTCAGGAGTCATGTAAAGATGAATCCACATCTGCTGGTCCTCTAAGGTGTCCTGATGTGCCTCACATGTTCCCTGAGGAGGTCTGCAGCTCAGGAGAGGTGAAGGGCAGAGGGATGTGGAGAGGAGGGGAGAGCCCAAAGTAAGACAAAGGGGGAGTTCCCAGAATGATGCATGAACTACAATAGTGGCAAATTAAAACCAGTGCTCTGAATCTTCAGTTTGAAACATTTTAAAATCTTAAAAATAGATAGCATCTAAAAGTATTGAAGATTTGCTGCATGAGACAGTAATATTCTGTTAATAATAAATTATAATGAAGGGTAAATACTGCAGTGATACATCTCTGTTGAACACTTGTCCGTTCAGGGGAATGAAACTGTGCTGGATTGACAAATGAAATAACACAACAGAGCAGCAGAGACATCTGCTGGCTATTTTAGGAACTGCAAAGAGCTTTTTTCTATGTCAGTTTGCAGCTTATCTTTTACATCCAAAGCAAGCCAGTGTTTGGGAAAAGGCTTTCTATGTTGCTGTAATTCTTGATAAATATGTTAATAAGAAGTTGTTTATGGCTGGATGTATTATATTCAACGTCAATTAAGGACCTTGGCTCAATGTCATTTTATTTTCTAACATCTTTTCAGCTAATTGTTTTGAATCTTGGCTGACATTAAGGACAAGAGTCGGAGGGAGCCTACAGGTCTGGAGCTCTTCTAATGATATGCAATGATAATATGCAACGTTTCCCTCTTGCAGTAATTTCTGAACAAATGTTTTTTATTTGCATTCTTTCCACATTTTTCAAAATGTGAATAGTTTCAGCAAATGCTGATCATTTGCAATTACTGGCTTTATTATACTAAAAGATCTCCTTGAGTTGATTTCAGGAAGCAACAATGTGACCTGCAACACCAAGACAGGTGACACATTTAAAGGCACAGCATTGCAAAATTAGGCAACCAACACCCAATTATGCTTTATGACATATTACAGTAAAAAATACTTAGAAGAGCACTTTGTTGTTTTTTTTGTAAAAAAGTTTATTCCATCCGTTTCTCTCCTTACGGGAGTGGGCTCTACAGGACGACAACAGCCTCATTAATAGGGCGAAACAGGTCATTTCATGGTTTAAAACCTGTGAAAATAAAATGAAAATTTGGATGCATGTGTAAGACAGAGCTCTCGACCATCTTCATCCAAACACTAAATGAAGTGTAGTTTATATGAGTGTTTTTGCCTCCTGAATCAGGGCTAATAGAAATTCAGTAAATGTTCCATAAGTAAAACCTGTGAACAAACAGATGGTAAAACACTCATCTGTGCTGCATACAGTATATAATGTATCTAATCAACAACTCTGGATTGGATACAATACATTACATTTGTCAGTCAATCTATTTATTGTAAAGAAAAAGTTTCACGTATTTATTGAGTATTTTTTGGAAGCTTGTTTTTGTCCCACCAGTTCGGCTTTGTTCTGGATCTGAATTGAGACAAACATGACTTCCTACACTCAGACTCCGGCTGAATGAGTGGCTTTGTGCAAATGCGGGACAGACCAACAAACTGTCCTTTGAATTGTTTTGGAGTCGAGGCAGGCCAAACGCACAAACGACACTATGTCTACTCATAAAGCCTGATTTATGAAGGAGAGAACGGCGTCAGCCTCAGCCCACTTACTTCCTCCTGCAGTCAGGATTTCACAGGGAAGCCGCAGAGAGAACGGGTCAACGGGCCACGGCGTCAGCACGACTTCACAGCTCAAAAATACAGTAAGTCTTCTTCAGTGAGAAATTTGAGTAATTTCCTTCAGAGAGAAATGTTTAAAACAAGTTGATACAACAGCAAACCTGATGTATCAGATGCTAACTCGCTGATGTCAGATGAAAATATCAAAAATTAACTTTGTGAAAAGCTTAGATGGACAAATAAGTAAATATCTGCTGTGATTACTTGGCACCAGGCTATTGCTTATAGTTTCAATGCAAAGCTAGGCTAATTCCCTCCCTAACCGTCAACATTTATACAAACTGTGTTTTCTTTATTTGGTTGACTTCTACAAGTAACTTAGTCCCACCTGGGGACAATACATTTTGGTCTTGAAGTACAAACTGGTTCTACCAAAAAGGCACCACCACAGCTTTACCAGCAGAGAGACAAAAAAATGTTAGCCAATAGACTGATTCCAACGGGCGGTTTGTGGACGCTGACATCTTGGTGGTGGGTTCCATTACTGCAGTGACTAACTAACCCGTGAGAACAGGAGGAGTTGTTGGATTGACAATGTTAGACAGCGGCCCAGAGTTACTGATGACGGTACCGTATATAAATTGCAACACAAACGTTGTTTAAATTTACATATTATTTACACATTGGTTATTAATATTGCCAGAAATAGCGAAAAAATTAACCACCTGACCATCCTTCATACTTTTAGTAATCAAGTCTACAGAATGCTAACTACCGTTACTTTCAAAGTTGCTAGCTTGCTAATATACCACCAGTAAAAGTAACCTACTTGTTTTTGTAATCTATGTCCAGTCACTTTTACTTAACATCTCGTTAATAATACTGTGACATTAATAGCTTTTGTTCAGTTAAGTATTTCTACATTTGCCAGCAGGTGGCAGTGTTAGCTCTTTTGCTGCACATGAAAGTGAAACTTAAATAAGTGGCTTGAGTAAAACGGTCTGAGCTGGTATTCTGGCGTTGCTGCTGAAGTGTGCTCATGGTGCTGATGTACCTACAGCTTTTATGTTTTGCCATCCTTGCCTGTGAAGTAATAAAGTGAATGTTTTCTACACTATAAGTGCATTGCAGTCTGAGTGGTGTAATAGGCTACTAACATAATAGTATTCACATATCCAGGCATAGATAAATAAACATATTTCATGTAACATTGGTTGTAATGGTTGCTAGTTTTCTGACATAATCAAGAGCAAAACAAACACAGATTAGACAGACAGATAATTACATAGTAAAAATAAATATGATTTCATGTTGTTTCATAGGTATTCAAGACTATTTCATTTATCGCCTGGCATGTGATGACCAACTCAATGCCAACTACAGGTCACTGATAGAGGGTCAAAATTACCTAAGCTCTGGATGGGTTGGTCAAATATTGCATAACCTACCAGATGAGGAACACATCACTTTTAAAGGACCTGTCCGGTACTCCCAGTCCATCTACAACCATCATAATGTTGAAATAACTCTGCAGAGGAGAGATGGCAAAGTAACAGAGGAAAGTGTTGCAGTCATACAGCAGCTCTACTTTACAAAATGAAACAGACTGTGACCCAAGGCTTTACAGGTACTGCCTGCACCGCCGAAGCATGTGCCTGGAACAAATCCTCCTGGAAAAATGTGGTGACAGATACAGTAGAGAACATTCAAGTGCCAGACCATGAACCTGGGAAATGTATGAAAATTACATCTACAGCATTTGAGTCAGATGCAGATGTTGTTAGACAGGTTTCATCGCCTGAGATGGCTGGTTTAGCCTGTATACCTGGAACAATTTTACATCATGTGTTGACTGCACAGCCACGGAAAAATGTAAATGCAAATGCACAAATGATACATCATGCACAGTGTGCTGAAGACAAATGTAAACTCTGCAATGACATTTTTGAAAAATTTGTAAAATGTGGGAAAGATGGGAGAGAAAATATAGAATCAAAAACAAAGGGGCAGAATTGTCAATTTTGGCTAGACCAGAGAAAAATTAGAATAACTAGCAGTGAGGCATCTGAAGTTCCTAAAAAAGCTGACCCAACAAGCTGGGTTGAAAGAAAACTTAATGGCAAGTTTGTTGGAAGCGCAGCCACTAGGTATGGACAAACATCAGAGCCTTTGGCAAGAATTTTTTTTGAGGAGACCACAGGAAAAACAGTAGAGACTGCAGGTCTTGTTGTGGATGAGAGAGAAAACTGGCTTGCAGCCAGCCTTGATGGCATAATTGACACAGATACCATCCTTGAGATTAAGTGTCCAACACTGAAGAAGCTGGAGTCACATGATGGCAGTCTGCTGAAAATGATTGAATCAAACAAATATGAGATAAAACATATCAATGGCCGATACATTCTTAAGGAAACTGCATCAGGCTTAGGGTACTACTACCAGGTCCAAATAGCAATGCATTGTGCAAACAAAACAAATTGCAAGTTTCTGGTATGGACCCCAAATGAATATATTATCGTGGATGTGCCATACAACAAAGACTGGACAATGGAGAAAATCTGCCACCTGAAAAAGGTTTACTTTCAACATCTACTCCCAGCAATAGCGACAAGAATAGCACATGGAGTAATGGAAATCAGACTCAAGTAGTTGAGGATCACATCCTTCTCATCACAATTCACTCTTAAGAGTGAAATGTGTACAGAAATTAGTTTCTTAAAAGCAAGTTAGGCAAACAACTGTTTCATTTAATCAATTTACATTTCATTTTCATTTATATGAAGCACTTAGTTTGGCAACATTAGATTAACTGTACATGTTTTTTCTTTTGCATTTTATACAAGAAATGACATCACTATTTACAATTTACAGTTAAAAAATGTTAAACAAATGTGTTACAAAGTTGCTTACTTTAAAATCATTTATTAGTTAGAATTATGTAGGATTCACATTTCACAACTGATATTATATTATATTTATATTATATTATATTCCTGCACACTATAAAATGGCAATGCTTCAGTTCAGAGACTTTACCAAAACATTTTCTAAAATCCTCTGCTTCCTGTCTGTTTGAGACATAAGAGATGTAACTTTGACTACAAAAAACTTCTGTAATTGATAACCTATACATTTGAATGTATTTTGTTGTTACTTGTTTGCTTGTTTACTTTTTTACTATCAATTATTAAAAAATGGAGATTGTTTTGTTTTAAACCTGGTGTTGAAATATTTGACATTCACTACACAACAAACAAACACTCTTCTTAAAGGAAAATGAAATTTTACTGCAGGGTCTGCACTTTAAAAAAACGTTCTACTATGAAAGTGAAGTGCACTGTTATTAGTTTTCGATGTTCTCTGCCTCGTCCCATACTTATGCTTCTTGTTCCTGCTCATCTGCATCTTCACCTTCATCTATTTCAGATCCTTCTTGCTCCGTTTCATCTCAAATTAATTGAGGTTGCAAGTTACAAAGCCCTGCACAAATACTTATTATGTCATCAACATGTTTTACACTACCAGGGATTTCATGGCTCAGAATTGTAAAACCTTTCAACCTTCTAATTGCTCGCTTGACATGGATTCTGACATTTGCCAAGCGACGCGTTTCTGTTACGGCATGTTGAGACAGTTCTTTACAACCACGCATAAACGTGAGAAGAGCTAGAGTCACTCCTGGGGGCAATGCATCTGTTACCCACGATCAGCTAGAATTTGATCACCAGGAATCAGGTGGTCAAGAAGACCACTGTTTTTTGTGATAAATGTATCACTGGCCCATCCTCCGAACAATTTAGAAACAAACATCACATAACCATTAGGAGAGATACAATACAGGAGTTTGTGTTAGGATGTTTGTAGTTGCTGTATGTTTGTGATCGTTTCCTTAGGTTTTTTGACCTTTGTACAAATATTTCAGTACAGTCTATAATACACGTTGCTTTGGGATAATTTTCAGTGAAACTCTGAGGCCTGATTCTTTTCAGTGTATCTCTAGGCAACCACACAATCATCTTTTCCCTCATAAACTAAAGTACTGGTCTCCAGAGTGTGAAGATCTCACAAGACTTGCTTCTGCTAATACCAAACCGTTTTAAGTCTGTAAACATTAAACCAAGACGAAGCCTCATCAGAATGAGTAACAGTTGATCATGGACTGCCAACTTGGTAATTCTTAGCTGTGGGAGAAAAGCCTGAAGGGTGCACAAAAGTTGCCAAAAACTAGCAACACCTATGCCTGTGAAAAACTTGGAGTCTCTATCATCTAAGTCATATGCTGACATTGATGGAGCAGGATCAGCTTGTGTTGCACTGTCTGTCATTGATTTGTTAGAACACTAGATGTGTTCTGTAGTGTCTGGCCACTGGATGCTAACATCGCATATTTGCCGAGGCACACTATTGTCCAGATCCTCAGTGTTCACTGCTACATCAGGCACCCACTTATCAGTGTTTTATTTTGGATGACGCGTTAATTTCCTCAATGTGCGCTTAAACTTTGTATTAGGGCAGCAAGTACCTTGTGTCATATGAAAACGTAATTCATTATATTGCCTTAGTTAAAGAAAATAATATATACAGTATATTTCACAGTAATTCACAGTAATAGTTGAGTGAACATCGCAGCCCACAGTAAAGCTAACATTAGCCTAGCCGTTAGCTAGCTAGTCAGCGCTACTCGTTTTACTATGCTAGGCTAGGCAGTTGCAAAATAGTCACTGTCAGATAAAAAGATTCACCAGTGTAAACGAAAACCTATCGTGTTATTTTCATTGGGAACAAAGTTCTTTCCGTTGATATTCTTGATCCACTGCTGGCGAACAGCTCCGTCTTCTGACCGCCCAGGGAATCTATGTAAACCATACGGTCTCAAGCAGGGACACTCATCATGAAGTAAATGTTTCTGTTCTGAGCACTCGTTTTTTTTCCAAACTTGAAGTTTGCCACTGTTGTTGGAGCAGCCAAGAACAGCACAAGTTCTTCTCTAACCCAGTGGCATAGTTTTACAACTAATAAAACACACAGAAAGAGGATTTGTTTTCACTTCTCCGGACAGCTTACATTAAAATGCGCTAGTGTTGTAGGAAGAGGTCACCGCAGTAATGGACACTTCCGTTTTTTCTCCGGATCGGTGTATAGCCGGGCTAGGCTACTTTGGGACCATCATTTAAAAAATGAAAACATCCTGTATGAAGAACACGTTAAATGAAGACGTGTGACCTCATTTACTCAGTAAATGTTTACTGAGATAATAAATCAAGTGAGAAGATGGATAATTTCTCATCTGCTTACATATAATTTGACTTTTTTGAACCAGTATCACCCCCTACTGGCTATTAGACAGATTGCAGGATAAAGACACTTTTGCGCCGGCTTCACTTTTGAAAAAATGAGCGTTGTCCACTGCTTGTATACAGTCTGTAGTCACATCTTATGTTCTGCTAAAATGATGAGAATGATAACAGGTTTTCTTCTTGTGTTTTGTGATCGGTGATTGTGATAACAGGAGCACATCATTTGGTGCTCAACAGGAGGAAAGGTAACACTGTGTAAGCAGAGTGAATGACTTTCTGTTGAACTTGATGCCCTTACAGCTGCACATATATGAGGTCAGAGATTTATTGTCACTGTCAGAGGCAACAAAAGAAACCTGTATTAATGTTTCTGCGCTACTTTGAAAGCTTTGTATGAGTCTGTCTCCCCTGTGGTAACCTGAGCTGATGATGATCTCTGTTATTGTCCTTTCAACCAACACTCACACTCAGCATCCTGTACTCTCTGTATTACTTTCCTGCATGTACCTTTATGACTCGTCAGTCCCTTTTTCTAGGACAGTCTGAATACCAGAGAGACGCATGATGTGAGATTCAATTGAACACTGATCAATTTGCAATTAGAATTAGTTGAGCTCTTGTGACTAGCAAATCTATTTTCATCTGAAATATTATCATTTTTTAACTAATCAAAGTAGTTTGGGTGCCTAAATCTACCAAATCTCCTGTTTTGTTTTTGTTTAGTTTTTTGTGCAGATTGTGACACGTCTTATGTAGTTGTGACCAAGTGATTTCATTCCTCATTGAAACATTTTTTTTAAATTATTCCCTTTATGTTTTTTGGCACATGGTCTCTGACAAATTGGATCCACTAAACATCTATTCAAAATAATAAGAATTTAATTATGATTTATCGATGATTTTTTTTAGGGCTGAGGGCCTAAATGTAATGTCCGGTTGTTTTCCTGAAGATGAATATTGGAGCTCCTTAAGCACGAAACAAACAGAAATAGTCGTTACTTACCTCATTAGTGTGGGCAATAGCAGCATGGCGTGTGGTGGTCTGGCTTATCACAATGACCCTGCCGGTGTTTTTGTTTTTAGATCACCAGAAAATTATCCTGTTACATAAGACAAAAAACCTGACACAGTCTGTCAAGTCATTTAAGATCATGTTTTTGTTTTGTCTGTTTATTTTAGTATTATTCTGTGTTTTCACACCGCAGGAACTTTTCAATAGTTCTAGGAACTGTTGGAACCCCTCCCCCATTTTATTGGTTCTGCACCGCAAGAACTATGAACTATTTTAGTTTCTAGAACCTCGCTTAGAGGAACCTTTTTAGCTCATACTCTCCCAACACAAGAGGGACTTTGAGTGATGTAAGTGCACGGTGATTGGTGCATAAAAATATATTTTATATATAATATAATAAGGATATTATGATTATGATTATTATTACATGGTGTGTAGTTCTTAGCGAACTCCTTAGTGGATAGTCCTCTTCAAAAAGTCTTGTTATCCCCTGATTGTCTGTGTATCTAACACCTGTGAGTCCTCCCTCATGTCGCAGGTTTCGTTCTGTGTTCCCACGTGTCTCCTTGTCCCAGCCTTCTTTCTTTGTAAGTTTTCTAGGTCTAGTTTTCTTTCTTTTTTGGGGGGGATTAGTTGCCTCGCTGACTGATTACTTGTGAATCGACCTGGACTGTGTAAGAAACTCTGCCCTTTTGTGTCCTACATTCTAACTGGTTCTGTTAAAAAGAATCATTGTTAGTTCTACAGTTAGGTTCATAAGTTTATTCAATGATAATGTACAAAATAACTTCAGTCTCAGAAGAGAAGAGATGCTTTGTACCCGATTTAGCTAACAAGCTCATTTCCCTCTGTTGTCCCTGGTCAGATGATGGCAAGATGAGATGAATGAATCCGTTAAAATGCAAAAAAAAGTTGAGCTCTCAGGATAACAACTGAAAGTAGCTCGAAGTCAAGGCAAAATTAAGCACATAAAATGAATGAGCACTTTATCTGCAGGTAAAAATAGGACTAGTCTGACTCGTGAATTTTAAACTTGTTTTAAGATCAAGAAGGGAATTTGAACCTCAAAATTAGACATTCTTTAAAGCATTAATGAAATCATATTACACAAAATAAAATTTATTGCAAGTCAGGTATTTAAAAAACTGAGCAAATAGAGGCAATCATGGATGTAGAATTCAATTGTTGTTAATAATGTGCATGCTGATTCATATTGTTTATTATTAAATAACATTTTCTCTTAAATGTATTACACATTTTTGATGCTACATGCTGTGGCAATCCAGGGATTTTCCTCGCTCTATCAGCACTTTACTCTTAATGCCTTTTAAACAATCCCTCCGTCGCCCCAGTCTCCACTTTGAAATAACGGCCCCATCAAGTCAAGCATGATTTGACTTGGACTTGCAGGGGTCTGAAGGTCAGAGGTAGGGTGGCTGAACAGCTGGGGGGTGGGGGGGGGGGTCACATGCTTAGACCAC